GACGATAAGTCAACAGCTACGACCTCTAGAGGACGCTCTCACGTCTGCAATTCTGCGACTGTGCACACTCGTCGTGCCGGGGTACCTGTCGGTCACTTTCTTCTTTCTATAAAGACGTGTTTTTCGGGTGGTGTCAAAGACCACCCTTTCATTCTCAGGAGCCATGCTTCTTCCCAAAGGCGGAATCAACTGGAAGTCTGCCCAGGCAAGACTACCTCCCACCAGAGCAGTATGGTCTTTCTTGACTAGAACGCGCTTTCTTCTTCTTGTTGCCCTGACCGGCACCATTCTGCTACTATGGCGCGGTATTCGCTCGTCAGCTTCGGAAATGCAGAGGTAAGTTTTCACCTACGTAGCCGTTCTCCCTCCTTAAGGGGCGCGATATTTTCCTGCGATGCGCCGCGAAAATAATGGCTTGCTAACTTGCGACTTTGCGCAGCTTCTACTGCTGGGGCCCCGCGAAACCCCCCATGGAGATGTCGCTCAATGAGCAAGCTTCGTGGGCCGGCCACCTTCAAACCCCCGTCATCTTCAACCACCACGAGCCCCTGGAGATCAACCATACCTCCATCATCCACGTCGACCTCAACCCTATCAAGTCCACGCGCAAGGCCGTTACCAACGAGGAGCGCGTTCTGATTCTCACGCCTCTCAAGGATGCTGCTCCGTACCTGTCAAAGTACTTTGAGCTGATTGCCGAGCTGACGTACCCTCACCACCTGATCGATCTCGCCTTCCTTGTCGGTGACTCCAAGGACGATACCCTCGCCGTTCTCGCTTCCGAGCTGGACCGCATCCAGCGCCGTCCTGACAAGATCCCCTTCAACAGCGCCATGGTTGTCGAGAAGGACTTTGGTTTCGAGCTTAGCCAGAGCGTTGAGGAACGCCACTCGTTCAAGGCCCAGGGTCCCCGACGAAAGGCCATGGGCAAGGCTCGCAACTACCTCCTTTCTGCTGCCATGAAGCCCGAGCACTCTTGGATCTACTGGCGTGACGTAGATATCGTCGACAGCCCCAAGAAGATTCTGGAAGATTTCATTGCCCACGATACCGACATCCTCGTGCCGAGTAAGTACATATTCCGTATGGCCACGACATGGAAAATGCTGACGATATGGCAGACATTTGGTTCCACCGCTACCGCGATGGCCGCGACATCGAGGGTCGCTTTGACTACAACTCTTGGGTTGAGTCTGACAAGGGCCGCAGACTGTCAGCTAGCTTGGACAAGGACGTCGTCCTCGCCGAAGGTAAGGGATGCTGCTTCTAGTACCTGTAAGCGGATGCTAACCACAAGCCACTAGGTTACAAGGAGTACGATACCGGACGCAGATACATGGCCAAGGAGGGCGACTGGCGCAACAATAAGGATGATGAGCTCGACCTCGATGGAATTGGTGGCGTCAACATTCTCGTAAAGGGAGATGTCCACAGATCAGGTTTGTTCACCTTGTGCCTGAAATACCGAGCTTTTTTTCTAATCTTTGCAGGAATCAACTTCCCGTGCTACGCCTTCGAGAACCAGGCCGAGACAGAGGGCTTTGCCAAGATGGCCAAGCGCGCTGGTTACCGAGTCGTCGGTCTGCCCAACTACGTCGTATGGCACATTGACACTGAGGAGAAGCCCGGAAACGCATGATCCCATCAAGGATGCGTTTTTAGCCTAATTCCTTTCGATTGTACGACGATTTTTTCCGACTTGGTCCGCGGAATGCGGCTGGCGGAGCACAGCACTGTATGACCACGTAACGATACACACACATGGTACTTGGGAGCGTTTCACGAGGAGGCATTTCCGGATACTGGTCCCAAGCTTCTTGGCCCACGAATGATGGTTGGGAGGCCCAAGTGTTGGTAAATGCCCCGGCTGCTCTGGTAACCACGAGCTCGACTTTGCGCCACATATATATCCGACGACAACCTGACCTTTCTTTGGCTCGACGTCGACTACTTGAATGAGCTGGCCATGAAACGCAAGACGAACGGAGAGAAGAGGGATGCTCCTTTGGCGACTCATACCGCATGAAAGGATGCCTCGCTGTAATAATAGACTTGGTTACATCACCCGTTAGCATAGGAGGGGGAAAGGTAACGCCCAACATAGGAAGGGGAGCCCCCTATTCGGCCTCGGACTTTGGTATGTGGTGACGAAAGCAGCACTTTATCGAGAGAAGAATTGCTTGTTGAAGTTTCCTCTCGACGAATGAGTGTGATAGCTAGGGTATGAGGAAACTCTGGAGTTCAAAGAGGCGTAATTTATACATTTTGATTTGTCCCGAAACTACTCTCTATCGTCTGTCGTGCTGTGAACTCGTTCCCTTGGTCTATGGTCTGATGGCGGCTGGCCAGGGCCATAGACTGAGTTCAGTCGACTGTATATCATTCAGAACCTTGTTGGACACAGGGCTGCGGTTGGCCTAGCCTCTCCGTCTATACGGTAACTACGCACCTGTGTCCTAGCTTATCTCACTCTCACTCTCGCTCTCAGATCAGCGCGCCGTGTCATGGCTTAGGGCAAGCAGGAGTACTCGTCAGGCCAAGGCCTTGACTGATGCGTGAAAAGTCTTGCGATAGCCGTCGTCCCTGTTCTCTTCTCATGTTACTGGGCGGAGGGTGGGACCGGGGGAAGGGGGGGGGGGGGGGGGCGCTTATCTTGCCTTGTAGACGGGAAGACACTTTTCATCATGTCACTATTCTTTCCTGAAAGTCATACAGGGTTCTCGAGTTTGACGGAGCAATCTACGAATCAAATCCGAACAACGTTTGGCGCTCAATTGTAGTAGCCCCTCACCCGAACCTTTCCTTCCCATGAACGAGGTCCCTCGTTCCCTCCCAGGTGGTCATCTAGGTGACGGACTTACCTTGCCTTGCCTTTCATTAGGCATCCAAGGTTATATATACCGTCCCCAACGTCGCTCCTGTCACCCGCACATCAGCATCCGTGTAGGTCGGCGGGTCAGGTCAAGCTATGTGCGAAGTGGTCGAGTGGTTCATAAAAACAAATGCTCCAATGAGGTCAGAGTTTCTGGGTGGACTGAAGGGCGCGTTGTTTGGGTCTTGGTTGGGCGTGAATTATGAGTTTAGTGTTCCCCCTTCTTCCTTTCTATATAATTCTATTTTTATTCGAAGGGGGGCTTTGGTGCAGCTTTTCTGTTCGACCTGGAAGGAATCTCGAGGTGTAGTTTGCATGCAGCTTGGTGCAGTCGAGAACTCGCGGGAAACCATGTCCACTTGCTTGGAAGATAATGTAGTCAGCTCCATAAGCCTCTTTATCTTGATGGTGTTCTTGCATTCGGCAATGGCCATGTGTATTGTCGTTTCTAGCTGTACTGTTAGCTTATGACGAACACCAAGATGGAGACCGCCCGCAAATTGCCATTACTGGACTCGCTGGTGTCTGGTTTTCTTCCGTTGTCTGTGAATGGAGTGCTACTTTTGTTAAAGTCCAGCGGCGGTAGAGTTGAAGATACCTGGAAAGGGGCGCTTTGCACTGGGAGCGTGGCTATACGTTTGTTGCTCTTTGGAGGCCATTGGACAGCCTCGGAGTGCCAATGCTTTCCTTCATACCTAGCTTATGAGGGTTCACGTAACAACCGAGGTATACTAGATCCGTAACAGGTCTTAGGGGAATGAGCTCACTGGCTATTGTCACTTTGCTCTAGCAATGAGCGGCAAGTTACGGAGTCTCGCCTTTGGTCGTCTGGAGTGAAGATTGTTTTGATGTGAAGTGATGTTGACCATATTCTGAATTGCCTTTGCATCCTCGGATCGTCTCTTAAGATATCCAACACTGGCAGAATTACGAATCTGCTGCAAGTGAGCATTGGACCGTGAATTCGGGAATTTTACTACTTTTGTGCAGTCTTCCTAGGCATGAGTGAGAAGAGTTACACGTCAGCCCTTCTCCTTAGATAGTTGCTCGTATAACAGAGGGGAATGCAAAGATTGTAGCTAACTGGCGACGTGAGATCATCTTTCACGAATCCGTCTTGCGGGCGTATGCGTATCTGTTTGTAATCACCCTTACTATTAAATATTCGCAGGAACGAAAGCTTGGTGCTCCACCTGATCTACCAAGAATCCAAATCGAGAACTGAATACTTGGTGGAAGGCGTTACGTAGCCAAGAAGCCCACCATGATTGCACCTCAATTCGTCAATAGCTGCACTGACGGGCAGTGCTACACACATCTCCTAATAATGATGGTCTTTACCTGTGGGTCGCCAGCGCAGTCCAGTAGTAAAGTTTTCTCGATACATGATCACTACGAGTTCACTGATTCAAGAAGTACGCCCCGAGATTCGATTGTATCTTGTTAGGTGCTGATGTAATGTCGATTCCGATTGTCGACCACATCTTTGCAGCCTCATTGGTAACAAGGCACCGCCAACTGAATCTCGCAGATGATGTATCCGTATGCGAAAAAGTGATTGCGATCAATTGACATGATAAATAGTGCGATGAACCTAGCCTATAAAAAGATTGAGATGCGGGTTTCCATGTAGCGACAGTTTTGAGGAAATTCGGCAGCGACAGCATCAGTGTATTCAACGACCTTCAACGCAGTAAGCCGTCAAAGAAAGTCGTTACTCATGATGTTGATGCACTGCAGTGGGTCTGTGGGTTGCGACCAGTGAGAGTGCGTACAATGTCAGCTAGCTTCCGCGAACCCGGGCCGGGGGGGCAACCGTGAGAACATTGATATTCCAAGGCCAAAAAAAAAGTGTCATCAATTGGTGCTATTCGAGCGCAGCGGAACCTGTAAATGTAGCAGGGAGTTCCAATTGACGAGAAAGCAACCCCCTCCAAAGGTCTATACATAAGGTACACGAACCGCCTGGCCTTGTTCTCTCTAAACTCGCTCGCCCCCCTGGTCTAAATTTCTGTCGCGCGCTCGGCCAGGCGGTTCCCCTTCGTCATACTTTACAGCATCGTGCGCGCGGCTCGCTCTCTCCGCCTCCTTCCAGTCCAAACGTGATCCCCCACCAGGAAGATGTAGTTTAGTGGTGCTTCTTCTGGACCTCCATGGTCTCAAAGGCCAGCCTCTCGGCCTCCTCAGCCTGGATCTGCTGGATGATGGGTCCGAGGTAGGGGTAGTCCTATAGTCGAGGGTCAGTCCTCATGTGTCTCTTCGATTCAATCGTCCGGGATGCGCACCTCCTCGGGCTTGGTCCACTCGTTCTTGGGCAGGAGCTTGTGCTGGTAGGAGAGCTGGACGGCGCGGCGGATGCGGTAGACGCGGTCGTAGGACTCCTTGGGGGAGAGACGCTTCAGGGCCTTCTGGACGATATCGGTCTCCTCCTCGATGAGGTCGTCGAATCTGCAGTCGAAGAAAAAATTGGCAATTAGTTTCTGTGTTGTCTTCCGGAGCCTCGGTGGCAATTGTTGTGGTCGGGTTGTCGAAGAGTTGCTTACCTCAAGCCGAGCTTGCGGTGGCCGGCAGCGTTGGCGTACCAGTTGGAGAAGGGGACGAAGATGCTCTTCAGGAAGGGGCGGGCAAGAATGCCGTCGGCGAGCTGCTTGGAAATGAGCGAAGTCATTGTGGCGGCTATGTGGTGCGTGGTGGGCGCGGAGAGGAGAGGTTTCGATATAATGCCGCGGAGTACGGTTTTGCGGATCGCCTGAGGTTGGGACTCTATGGGAAATTCGTGGAGCATCCCGGAGATGCGCAACGATTCGGGACGGACAGGTCATGTGATCATCCTTCAGATTCCGGCACGCGCCACGTTAGGTGTGGCACATGACTACGATGTGGCTGGTGAGAAGACCCGGCCGCACGGACCACCCAGAGATAGAGGTGCAGATTTCGTGGTTGGATCCCGGGCCCGATGAGGTAATTGGAGCTACCAACGGGATGCCCGTCCACGATAGCACTGCAGACCCTGCTGCGAATGATTGGGAATTGCATTTTGTGGTGCTGGGCAAAGCCGCAGGGAACCGGCGGAGGTGGAGCTCCCCTTCGATGGTCTGGAAGCTTGAAACTTTTCATTCTGGGCTTTTTGGGATTGCGATTCAGAGACTTTGGACGTCGTCTGGGATGTCTTTTGGACACTTGGCGTCTCTTGTCTTTTTAATCGCAGCTCTTCTCACAAGGACATTGGCAACTGTTTGGAGCGAAATATACATCTTACCAGACTACATAGCTGCCAGTCATTAACGTGAGACAAACGACACTGCGTCATCTTCTGTTGCTGATCATCCAGGGCTGTAAACAAGAATTGGGAATATCGGCTGCTCCCGGGGTTTGAGCCAGCACCCGAGGGAAGCTTCCCGTCTTCCTCGGTGGTTTATTCGTAGTGGTACTCTTTACTTAACGGCAGAAAAGCAACGGGCGCGTCATCGCACAGGTCCCTTCCTTCAGCAGCCCATTTCACCCGTGGACCTGCTCCGGCACGTCTTATCCAGCGCTCCAACTGCTCCTTCCTCCCTCCCAGCCCACTAGATTGCGCCTGCCTCCACCTGTAAGAGTACCCTGAGCGTGGGGACCTCCTGCCAAAAAGACAGCCGATAGCTCGCATCATTTTGCTCTCGTGCTCCGTCCCGCTCCACCTCGGCGCTTTTTCGCAATATCCAATCTCCAACTCCCCCGACTGCGCTCTTACTGCGTACCGTACCGACTACCACCACCACCACCACCACCACCACCTCTCGTCCTGCTCCCCTTCTCCTTTCTCACCCCTCACTTCCCGATCCCGTGTGCTTGGGAGCCTCCTTCTCGCCAGAACCGTTCTCGAATACCTGCCCTAGACAACTGTTCCCCCGCAAGGCCAATGGGCTGCGATAACCGCTAGTCGTTCAGTGTCACGGCGGCGTGGGAGCGTTCCCCGCATACCGGGACACTTGGGAAGGTCCAGCATCTATCCAGCTACCAGACTGAGACGTACACGACAGACACAAACGGAGAGACGGCCAAAGAGAAAAGACACCAAAGAAGCAGCACGAACGTCGAACAAATCACGACGAATACACCGAGAGAACCGGCTCTAGTCTACCCGCACTTTTCTTCGCATCCAGTTCTCCGAGAACCAGCACACATAGCGGGACATTGCCGCCTTTTCCTTGCTGATACCGTACCCAGCTTGCGCCTAACCTCCGCACTTCTGGATCCCGATCATCCTCAACAGTGAGAGGGGATGTCTCACGACGAACAACCCGACGCTGAACGAGGCGCACCGCACCCCAACGACGAAGAATATGGGCCTTACCCGACCTCGACATATCCCAACTACAGCAGCTCGAGAGCGTACCCAGCCACAGCTCCTGCCCGCGCAGCGATAGCTGCTATTGAAGAGGCCGTTGCTGTCATGCCCACCAACGAGACGATCACTGCCTTTGAGCGGTGGGCAGCTGGCGCCTCCGACGCCCAGTTCAACGCCCTGTCCGGTGCTGTGGGAGGATTTACCTCGGGCGTTGTTACGTGCCCGCTCGACGTTATCAAGACCAAATTGCAGGCCCAGGGTGGCTTCAATCCGGTTGAGAAGGGAAGACATGTCGGACATGGCCCGAAGCTTTACAATGGACTGCTTGGCACCGCCCGTGTGATTTGGAAGGACGAGGGAATACGCGGCATGTATAGGGGACTCGGCCCGATAGTACTGGGTTATTTGCCCACCTGGGCTGTATGGTTTACCGTCTACAATAAGAGCAAGGACTGGTTGAAACACCGTCATGGTAAGTTGAAGTCTCTGTTGTGGGAGTCATGTTGGCTGACTCGAGATACAGACAACACGGTGTTGATCAACTTTTGGTCATCCATCATCGCTGGTGCCAGTAGCACTGTCGTCACGAATCCCATTTGGGTAATCAAGACTCGCTTGATGTCGCAAAGCGTTGCCCATGACCCGGGCAAGTATCATTCGCAGTTCCCGAGATCGGGCAACACACCAACTTCCAGACCGACAAATCACAGCTCATGGCACTACCGGTCAACAATCGATGCGGCACGCAAGATGTACACTTCCGAGGGCGTCCTTTCCTTCTACTCTGGTCTCACACCCGCCTTGCTGGGACTTACGCACGTGGCAGTGCAGTTCCCAGCATATGAGTATCTGAAAACGAGGTTCACTGGCCAGGGTATGGGAGAGCCGACTCAGGGCGATTCTCAAGAGTCGCAATGGATGGGAGTGCTGGGTGCTTCGATATTATCGAAGATCATGGCGAGCAGTGCCACATACCCTCACGAGGTGATCCGCACGAGACTGCAGACACAGAGAAAGCCCGTGGGAGGAGCCGAGTATCTACAGGGTCTGGGAATCAAAGTCCCTTTATCCGAGGACGGCAAACCGCAGCAGCCGTTATCACCAAAGTATCGCGGCGTGGTCAGCACCTTCCGGACGATCCTCAAAGAGGAGGGCTGGAGGGCCTTCTACGCTGGCATGGGCACTAACATGATGCGAGCGGTGCCGGCCGCGACAGTGACGATGCTGACGTATGAGTTTGCGATGAAACATTTGAACCATGCGAGGAGCGAGGGCAAGAGGAAATTAGGAAGGGGTACACCTGCCGAGCCATGATCTGGTAGGGCAGAAGCCAGAGAGAGCGGTCTCATTTTGAAGAAGACAGAAGTGGAGAGAGAGAAACTTGTCAAGGCAATATGTGCGTTTTAGCAGTCTCGAGGGGAAAAGAGAAGATGTTGAGATTAGGAAATGGGGACGGGATTTTCCAGATACCCTTAACTTTGGTCGTCAGGTATAGACAAACTCGATTCAGGTCACGGAAACCAAGCAATAGTTCCCTTTCTTTACTTGAGAGATGGCACCTTCGACCCATCCCTCCCTCATCTTCATCACATGCAAAGGATGGTTTTCTTTCCTAGTTCACAACCGATTTCGGACACCTATGGTAGTTCATAGTTGAGAAGCGGGGGGAGCATGGCATTGTTTATTCCTACCGACGGGAAGTAGGGCGGCTCACTTTTGTAGCATTACACTTGTTTGGCGCAGAGTATACAAGGAGTTTGATACGAAAACACACTGAAGCCATGTTTGTGTCTTCACTCTCTTTTGGTATTGAGCAGTCCGCAGTTGCCAGAGTCAGAAACGTGGGCAGAGAAGGGAGGGGGTATAACTACATTAGAAAACCGTGAAACAAACTCCAAAAAAGAATAACGAAAATTAACCCGCGAAAGCCCTACTGCTTTCCTCCTTGCCATTGAACTAGCTTTTTGGTCTGCAACTCCTGATACAGAGGGCCAGTGATCGATCTTGTGGGAGATGTGGCCTTTCTCTGCGTCTATCCGGTGAACCTGCCGCGCTGCGTTCGTTCAGCACAGCGTGGTTTTGGCGCCACGCTCACAAGATCCAACGCATTGGGAACCTCAAGACGGGCTACCGTTGCCGGGTCCATGGCTCGGGCCGTGGGGATGTCTCTGCACAAACGTCAGTTTCTCCATCCCGAAGTTCCCACTGCTGTATAGCACTTTCCAAGGGGGGATGGAAGATGGGTAGACGTACGGCCTGATCACGCGCCGAGCGGATTGATGAGCGGGTGTATCTGGTTCGATATTAGCTTTCACCTCACGATCCTTCTGAACAGCAGACATCCGGAGAAGACGTATCGTTATGTGAACCCTGAGACAGATGACCCCAAGTGTTAGACTTACGCGAAGAGGATACAGGCCATCGTGAAGGCGGCTAGAGGGGCCGTGATGGTCTATGGGGAAGGGGGGGGTGTTGTCAGTTCAGGAGGTTCTCATCATTTGGGGGAAAGTTTCGTCTTTTTCCTGACCCCCTTACCTTTGGTGTCAGGTTTCCCTTCTTCATCTTATGAGCATCGCCCGACCGGAGGACGTATGTTATTCTGTGTTTTGGGATGCGGTGAGGTTTGAGGTTTCGCGAGGGTGAGAGGGGGTGTGTGTAAGTGAGGTGAGTGGGATCATGGATGAGATGTGGATGGGCTGATTGTGGTTAGAGGATTGGGGACTGGTGGGGGGATATGCATGTATCCGGGTCAAAGAAGTGATTATAGGCATATGAGGTTGGCTTTGCCCTGGAGGGCTTGTTGGACTAGGTTTCGTTCAGTTGTGTTCAGGGACAAGTTTTGTAATGACGGAACTTTGGCAGGGCAAGCGAGATATCTGTAGTCCCAAGAATGGTCACGTTTTCTAACGCGAACGCTCTTTCGTTGTTGAGAGACTGATAATTGATGTCTTGGCTAATCGGTGCTTGACTTACAACAACGTGCCGTTGTTGTTCTCCCAAACTATCTTACCTAAGTCAAAGGCATGTAAAGAGAGGTAATGGAGACAAAACACGATGAGACAGACATACGTAGTACGAGTAAATCTCTGTGCCATTTGAATTGAGCTTTGAGTAGACAAACCTTTTCCATCGACTCAGTGTGATGGTGCAAGGATGCGAAGAAGTCAGAGAAAAGCGGCCTTCACATTAGCAACGCAATGAGAGTGGACCCACACGTGAAATCAACTAGATTTTTTTGTAGCGTCTGCCAAAAAGGATTAAAAAGAAGGGATTAGCGGAGGAGAATCGTGTAGGTTATCCAAAGCCTGCAACACCAAGGGTTCTCCAAATACTCCAAAAGGTTAAGCCCGTGATAGCTTCACATGACAAGAGTGGGATTCGAACCCACGCCAATTACTTGACTAGCACCTGAAGCTAGCGCCTTAGACCGCTCGGCCATCTTGCCTTCGTGTTGTTATTGAGATCCTGGGCTCGGGTAGAGTTTATGTTAGATTCGTCGCGGGTCGTGGCGGGCGAATCACGCTTAACCGAGATATCTTGTTAATCGACAACGGCATCTGAGCTGTTCCCGGGAGATAGTTGAGGTTCCTTCTTGAACGAAACAATGACCTCGCAGGCGCCTTCGGCTGCGTCATGAGGAGCGATGCTGACTGTGACCTCTTCCTCCGTACCGTCAGACAGCCGGATGGTGCGCGAAGCCGGATTCGTGCTTGTCGCAAAGTACTCTATTGGGCATAGTTGTAATGCCGGCCGAAAAGGGTAAGTCTTGTATCCGCCTCGCACTATGTAAACCAACATGTGTCGGGCAGTTGCGTACAAGGTTGATGTTTCATCCCACTTGCCAAGTTGGTCGATCATCCATCTACCCATTTCATCTTCTTCATAGTTCAGCAAAGCAGCCCAGCATTGGCGGGATCTAGATTTGAGGCCCTCGGTGATGGCGCAAATGAGGAGGACTTTTTCGCCCGAACGAAGACAGAAGTGCAGAAAACGAGCTTCCGTTGCGTTGCGAACTGCTTCCTGCTTGACTTTATCGAGAAATACTCGATTCAGGCGATCCCAGAGCGCACTAGGTTGTGCATGGAGAGTCTCGAATGGACCATCATTCAGGAGCTGGATATCGACAGAAACGAATATTGCGTTCTTCAACCTGGTACTGTGCATTTCCAAGGCCGCTTCGGAAGTCAAATGGCGTACTAGCTTAACAGGTTTGACTTTCTCCTCGTACACCCACGATTTCAATACCTGTATCCCTGGCAGGCTTGGTGCTGAACGGCCTTGTAGGCTGTGAGACTGTGCGATTAAACTCCAGGGCTTATAACGCACAAACCCGGAGGATGTTTTGGCAATCATGACACCTATTAGAATGGAATTGCCGTCGCCGTAGCTTCTTGAAGACGTCGGCTTAGGTAAATCTGGGTTCAGAAAACTGCAATGTAGCGGTAGCACGTATCCTGCTTCATCCCGAGTGCTGGCATTGTCGCCGAAGCCATCTATGTACCAGAGCACGGTTTTGATTGAGAACTTCGTCCTGGTCACGCCAACTTCAAAGTCTTCGGACAGCGTCATGTTGTTGATCAGCTTCAGATTTGAGCATGCGATAAAGTCGGACGGTGACTTTGCAAGCAGTCCGCTGTATTCTTCTTGTCGCTCTGGATCTGTGACCGATGAGGCCCAGGCAAGTAGAGACAGATCGTTTGTTTCTTGCATAATCTCAGACTGCAGCCGGGCAAAGGCTTTCTCGCCTTCGCCGTACAGCAAAGGCATGTTGATATCAAAAATACCTAGTAGGCAATAGGCAGAGTCTTCGGTTCGAGTAGTCTGGCGTTTTGAGGCCCAAGACATGCGGGTTGCAACGGGGACCTTGAGTAGAGGAGCCTTGCCAATAAGGATGGCCTCGTCGATGCCTGTGATGGACGATAAGAAGGGCGACAAAGTATCCTTTGAACCAAGTAGCTGCCAGGACGCGTTGTAAAAAGTGACGACCTTTGGCGCAATCAGCTCTTGAAGAGTCCAACCCCGGGTGAACCACCGAGAAGCCCTCAATTTCTCGAGTAATGTGGCCGAGCCAGCCAGGTCATTCACATCTGAGAGATAGGCGAAACAGATCCATGACCGGTTGTACCAGCGGAACATTGAGTTGATAGCCTCGGATAGCTCAGCGCTGGATGCTTTGTCGATGCAGCAAGTGTCGACCCATACGTAACCCAAGTCGAGGGATTTGGCCACTCGGCATGTGTTGTAAATCTTGTGGTAACCGGACTTTCTCCATACATTGTCGTCTCTTTGGTTTTTGAGTTCCTGGAAGGACACTTCTTCGCTAGCCCAGGTATGAGAGAGGATAGCATAAGGAAAATCTGGCTCGATGAACTCCTCCAGCTGAAGGGTATCGACGTTGATGAGCCACATGGCCGGTACTTGCAGCCAGACAGATGTGGTTTCTCAGGGACAGCAACTAGAGACGGATGGGGTCTGAGGAATGAAGTAAGAAGGCTAAGTTGGTTGCAAAAGATGAGGGAATGGGTGTGCTCGTTGACGAGAGGAAGGTGTCTTTAGCAGAGCGGAGGGCAGATGAGATTTCGAAGAGATCGTTGCCTCACTTGAGACGGAGTTGAGTGAAAAGCCAGAACCAACGAATCAGAATTGCAGGTTACAGTTGGAAAGATGTTGGCATATGAGAAGGTGCATATGCGTGTTGGAAGGCGCTTACACAAGGCGTTCTACGCCGGGATCTGCTTCCGCCTGCCTCACACATCTTGGAGGAGGTGTTGTTGAACCTGTATCCTCATCAGGTCGGTGATGGCATCTCGAACCACTGACTGCCACCGGAGCAAAGTAAGATGTAGCAAAGAGATTAAGAGGATGAACGCAAAGCACGGTGTGTAAGAGACAGAAGTGTCAATGACGGCTGGTTGCTCGGCAGGTGAGACAGCGTACTTAATCTCACATCGGTGACATCGGCTTTTAGGCCCAGCCATCTGGTGTTTCCCCCCACAGCAAGCCCGACGCCGGACGGGCACCAGAACGTGCGCTCCCTTGGAGGCTAGCTTCACTAAGACCGCCAGCTCGGGGTCGAGGAACGCACGGGCAATGGTCGAAAAGCTTACTGGACGATGGACAGGGGTGCGAAGACGTTCTTCACTGTTGAGAATGAGGGAAATGGCAGATGGGAGGTTAAGAGAGGTCGGGCGGCAGGGAAACAGCCGAGAGCACGAAAGGCACGAACTGATGGACCTGCACCTCTTTCTTGCTCCATACTGAGTGCTGACCATGCTTGCTTGCTCTCGTTTGGGGGAACCCAGACACGCAGATTCCGAGCCAGCACTCTTCAAGGCAGAGCAACCATACAACGTTGACACGGCACCACCACCACCCCCCAGAAACAGCAACGGCTAATAATACCGCTGCTCACGGCGACCGGAGCTTAATAATTAGGCTGAGCTAGACAGAAAGGAGAAACACAAAGAGGAGGGAAGGCTGGACGTGAGTGGGAAGGGAAGAGACACTGAACAGGGACAGACTGGGGGCGCCCGCACCAGCACCCGCGACGCACCGCACCGCACCGCCAAAATGCAGCAGCGCAACACGGCAGGACATCTGCATCGCATCAGCCCCCTGGTCCCGGCTGAAGCTCTGGCCATGGCCGCCTGTGATTGGCTCATCTCGAGGACGTCCTCTTCGACCTCCTGTTTACCTCTCAACTTCCCTCGATTCCCGTAACCCCCTCCCATCTCTTGCAATTTCGCATTCTTTTCCCATCGCATCTGGGTCGCATCACCAGCGCATCGCCGCTATTCAAGTCGCACACTCTCTGCGATCTTCCCATTGTATACCTCCATACGGATACCTGTACCCACCATACACAGCATATATCCCAGCTGAGTCTATATACCACCATGCCTGTCGAGCTTCGCAAGCGCAAGGCCCCCGAGCCTGCTCCGGCTCCGGCGCCCAAGAAGGCCTCGTCCAAGGTAGCCAAGGCGGCCGAGAAGGTCAAGGGCGCCGTCAAGGGCAAAGCCGAGAAGCCCGCCGAAAAGCCTGTTGAAAAGGTTACCGAGAAGCCCGTCGAGAAGCCCGCCGCTGCCAATGGCTCTGGCAAGAAGGTCAAGGCGGTTAAGGGTGAGACAATCGACCTCGACGGCTTCGGCGGCGACATTGAGACCAACGATGGCGAGAAGACGACCCTAAAGGAGCTCGTCGACAAGAGCAAGGCCGGCGTCGTCCTCTTCACCTACCCGAAAGCCTCGACTCCCGGATGTGAGTGTGTCCCTGCACCGATAGATGCTTGGTAATGCCTACCTCTTGCCCGACCAACCATGCTAACAAGCTTTTGATATCCAGGCACCAAGCAAGCCTGCCTCTTCAGAGACTCGTACGAGCCCCTCACCAAGACGGGTTTCGCCATCTACGGCCTGTCTATGGACTCGCCCAAGGCCAACACCACCTTCAAGGAGAAGCAGAAGCTGCCTTACCCGCTGCTCTGCGACCCCAAGGCGACCCTGATTGCTGCCATTGGCCTGAAGAAGCCGCCCAAGAGCACCCAGCGCGGCGTCTTCGTCGTCGACAAGGCCGGCAAGGTCCTCATCGCCGAGCCCGGTAGCCCTGCAGGCACCGTTGACGTCGTCACGGCGCTGATTGAGGGCGGCGATGTCGACGGTGCCGAGGAGGCCGCGACCGAAGCCCCGGCCGCCGATGCCAAGGAGGAAGAGGAGGCGGCCAATGGAGAGGTCAAGGCTGATGAGGAGAAAAAGGAGGATGCTGCCGATGAGGCCGAGAAGAAGGATGAGAAGAAGGACGAGTAATTATGTCATATTGCTGCAGTGTAAGTATAATTTCGTGAGGGAAAATGCGTTTGCAATTGGAGGGCCTGAACAGCGCAAGGCAAGGCAGGGTTTTCTTGTATCCGTATAGTAGCTGGGAATTGATTGTCTGGCGTTGGGCGTGTGCATTGCCTTTTTCCATTCCTCGTCGGCGTATTCGAGATGGACAGCTCTGCGGTGCGTTGCGAAATTGCGTGCCATCTTGACCCACGGCCGATTCGATGCGATGAACCCCCCGGAAATTCCAGCGATGTAGCTTTACAAGGGGAAGTGGTGAAGTGGATACTTTGGTCCAAGAGCTGGTGGTGCCGGGTTGCAAATTCAAGCACGGCTATTGCTTCGACCGGCAAAACCTCGGCCCTCCGGTTCCTTGCCAGAAACTGGAGCACTCTCTCCCGTCCCCCGAACCTCACAACCAACCTCAAGCTGGTCATCGAACCGTTTGCCAATCGAAACCCACCAACCCCAAATCTCCCCTCCACCGTCTACAGACGTCGCCAAAGATGGCCTCCAAGGCAATTGCGAAGGCTGCGGCAGGCGGTCTCGTGGAGATCTCCCAGGTACGAACCTCAATTGATCCTGCGAAAAAGCAGGGAAATCCAAACACCATCACGAATCATCACGGCCACCACCATATTTCCACCACCCCTCCGACGAACCATTGAACGACCTCGATTGAGCAAACAGTAGCTAACCTTGTCTTCTTCCTCCTCCTACAGAAGCACACCCTCCAGTCCACAGGCATCTGGGAACGCATCCGCCGCTCCCTGGCCATCGACCCCAACCGCTCCTCCGGCGTGCCCTTGAACCCGACCTTCCGCAACCCGGCACCGGGCGCCAACGACCCCCTGGCCTACGACGACCCCGTCACCGTCCCCGCGGGTGACATCGCCGACAACCCGTACTGGAAGCGCGACGCCCGCCGCAACTACCCGGCCATCAGCGTCGTCAACCAGGCCGACGTCGTCGGCCTGCTGGCCGTCGGGTCCGCCGCCAACCCGCGCGTCGAGCTTATCGGCGAGGCGGGCGAGAAGGCGCTCGTCGCGGCCAAGGAAGAAGGAAAGACGACGGGCATCGCGGCTTACCTCGAGAAGAACGCCGCGCAGGGCGCCGTCGAGGCGAGCAAGGAGGCGCTGTTTACGAATGGGTTGCCGCCGACGCCGAGTGGTGAGAATTTGAAGAGTGGGAAGTGGGATGTGCACAAGTACAAGGTCAACGAGGAGCAGACCTACGGTGAAGGGTGAGTTTTGATTTCTTTCTGCGCTCCTTTTTTCCCTCGGGGAGAGGGGGGCGTCGTGTGGTTTGGTGACGACGAGGAACTTTGCTAACCTTGAGTGAACAGCTACCCTTGCCGGACTTTTGCTTGAGCAATTTGGAAACCGCGGGGCTCGCTGTACAGTGTGGAGAGAGGAGGGACAATTGTAAATATGAAGGGCACTAGATTCCATTGAAACGTTTTTCTTTTCTTCACGTCCACGTCTCCAAGAATCGACCTCTCCAGGTCTCTGTGCTACTCTATTCGTCCGTTGGGTATCTCACCCCCGTTTCTCATGATGTAGCCGTTTTCAAAATCTCAAACGGCCATCGACAAAAACCGCCCCATATGTTGTCTTCCTTGATAAGACAAGAAACAACAAGAAAAGAAGAAAAAAACTCCCTCAAATCTCCTTGGTCTCCGGGACCTTTATATCGCCAGCAGCAGCAGGAGCCTCCGGCGCAGAAACCACTTCACCCGTCATGCGCTCAATGATCTTGACTTTGCCCTGCGCCCTCTTCAACCTGTCGTCAAAGTCGTTGACGGCGTCGTCGCTGTTCTCCTTGGAGAGCGTGTCCGGCTCGACCAGCGCAAACGCCGTCGTGACGTTCTTTTCCAGTCTCGCGTTGGGCGGCAGCGGCGGTAGGGAGCAGGTCTTGTTTTGTGACTCTGATGGCGGCTCTGTCGATAGTTGGGCTTGCTCGGCCGAGCCCGAAACCGAGGCTGAGGCTGCCGCTGAAGAACTGGACGGCTTTTTGGTGGCAGTGCTGCTATTCCTCTGGGGGAGGGACAGTCTATTGGCCCATATGACGGCGCGGGCGTGTATCCTGCCGCTCTCGTAGAATTTCTCGTAGCCCTTTGCGAGGCCGACGGAGCGGCCCTCGATTTTGCCTGCTTGGATGCCGTCTTCGGTGCCTTGGCGGAAGCCCTCCGAGAAGAATTGATCTTCGAGGGTGAGGACGTCGTCAAAGGGGTCTAGAGACATGGTGGGTGATGACTTTTATGAAAGGTGAATAGGTGAAACTTGGCTTTTTTGGAATTTAACGCCTGAGAGTGCCTCTTCGGGTTGTAAGTCACGGTGAGTCCTGGTAATTGGCGTTGAGAGTTGATGGAGGGGTGCTTTGAAATGGTGGCGGGGCAAAATTGTGTAGTTTGACTCAGCGGATTTTTTGGCTAGTGGTTTACACCCATAAGTTTCGACGCTCAACTTTTAAAGATGAACTCTTACGACCCAGCAACACGTGGTTAGATGAATACTTATGAATTGACTTTCGTATTTTCGACAAGAGAAATCATCGCTCAAGGGCCGAAAAATGGGGATAATTCTAACTCAACGGAACATGGGGAATTGGATTCTAAGTCTACCTCGTAACTAACACAGCAAACTACGCAAATTTACGGCCTCATAATTCAACGTAAGAAGTCCCATCTATGTAAACTGCTTCTTCTACTGCAACCCGAAAAACATACCGCCGTTAGCACAAACAACCTGTCCCGTGCACCACGCAGAGTCCGCGGAGACAAGCATGCCCACAATACCCGCAATCTCCCCAACGTACGCCGGCCTCCCGCCCTCCTCCTCAGCGGCCTTGACCAGCTCGTCCGAGTCGATCCCCTGCCTGGCCTTCATCAGCGGCGCGTGCTCGATGAAGCCCTTGATGAAGCGCTTGAACTCGGGCGTGTTGCCCGCGTACATCTCGGTGAGCACGGGACCGGGGTTGATCGCGTTGACGGTGGCGTTCTCGCTGAGCTCGCGGGCCCAGGTGCGCGTCATGGCCTCGAGGGCGGCCTTTGTGCCGCCGTAGACGCTCTGTTCGGGGAAGCCGGCGGAGGAGCTGACGGAGGACATGTTTACGATGCGGCCGGAGCGGTCTTGGGGCAGGTAAGGTTGGACGGCTTGGGTTAGGAGCAAGGGGCCGAGGACGTTTACGCGGTAGGAGACGTCGAATTGGGAGACTGTTATGGCGGGGAGGAGGTTGTTTTGGGCGACGCCTGCGTTGTTGATGAGGATGTCGATTTGGAATTTCCTGCTGGTGTTGAGCTTTTCGAAGTGGGCTTTTGCGGTTGCGACGAGGGATCGGGGTCCTTCGGGCGTGCCCATGTCGGCTTGGACCGCGAGGGTCTGGATGTTGTGTTTTGTGCTCAGGTCTGTTGCGAGTTGTTCGGCTGGGGATTGGGAAGAGGGGGAGGTGTAGCCCAGAATGAGGTTGCAGCCTTTGGCGGCGAGGTGCTCGGCGATGGCAACGCCGATGCCTGGACGGTGAATCTACGTTAGATAATGTTGTGAGCTTATATTTATTGAAAGTCTTACCTCGAGAGGCACCGGTCACGATTCCGAGCTTGCCGTCGAGAGAACGAGACATTGCGATGGAGCTTTTAATCGGTTGCTGGCTCCTTGTGAATACGACGTAGGATGCGGTTGAAAGTACAGAGAGAGGGCAAGGGATAGTTGTGGTATCAAAGAAGGGAAGACGAGAGACTGAGGCAAGGTCGGCAAAGTTCACGATGAGAAGAGGACGGGAGCCCGGAGATGGTTCTTATAAGCTACATAGACTACGGAGTACGGATACCTTACCTTACCTTACCTTACTCAGGGACCAGAAACCCTACCTAAGGTATCTGGGCAGGGTTCGATTGTCCCGAATGAGTAATGCTAGCAGCTCTCGTGACCCATCAGAAACTTGTTGAGCGACGAAGCAGTTCCCGCCGGCACGTTCCATTGGGCGGGATCTGAACTTGTCAGGTCTAGATGTCGTGGGACGCGGATGGATGGGGGGAACTCCAGTCGGTGTTTCTGGGTGAAAGCTACCCCGCTATCGCAGAGCTATGCGCTGGAGTTTCCATCTGTTGTGCCCCGCGGTCGGTGGGCATCCCACACCTGGCACACCCCCACGTCATTCTCCCGCGCCAATCCCGGGCCGTGGGCTCGACGCCGCCCAGGGGGCCACGATTTTTGGTGGTCCTGGATCATCGTGGATTAGCGTTTTAAGTCTGAGGACCAGGAGGGTTCTTTCTTGGTGGGCTTCGTGTTGTACTGATGATGTGTACTTGTGCATTTTTTGGAATGCAGAAGCGCTATGAGAATGGAATGAAAGCAAAGTCCGTTATCACCGCAGAGCTGAGAGTAGTCCGGCTTACACTTAGAAGTACTACCTGGTATCCGTAAGCATCACAAGCCTCAATCACTTGCCCAAAGCTCGTGTCCAAATATCTCGGCAATGAAAGAGTAATCTCTTCCCAGATGAGATTTTGTATGTTTGAGAATATTTTAATAGATTATGTGATTAAGGGCTCTTCTTCCAGTCTTGAGAATAGGAAATGACGGTCTAGACGATGGTGAAGCTTGAGATGCAACTAAACTGAAAGGCGGTCCGCATGCGGTAGATTCGGATGTCTTCTGAGCGAGTGCTTCAGTAGTGATTTAGTCAATTGACAGCAATAGAGAACCGCACCGAGAGTAGAACGTTGCGGATGCAATCTCATCTCTGTGCGAGCAGTACCAATTTCATAAGTCGGTCGGAGTTCAGACACATTGATGGCACGAACCATTCTAAACAACTTGAATTGAAGTTTGAGGAAAATTACAGAAACACAACCTTCACAGAGGGTAATCAGCTTTAGTCATCCGACAATGGATCATGTCAAGGTCCAACTCAAGGCTCGAAACATGAAGAGCCTGCCCTGTCAACGGTTGTGAATACGGAAAAGTACAGTTCGAGCTGCAATAAGCTCGTGTATCTTAGCTGAGCATCTGGCGGGGCAGTTTTGAGCGACGCTCGGAGCCTTGTGCGGCGGTGGTGGGGTTCTTGCAGCCACCTCATGGTCCAACGACCAGGGTCTTCCCAAAAGTCTACACCACACTCCCCTCCCTCCTCAGCGTCCCCCCATCGCGAGATCAACCCACCACCGCACCCTTCGTCTCTTCAGCCTTGCGCTACTCTACGCAAAGCCGGCCAACGTCGTCATTTCGAACCCGTCCGTTCATTCACAGCCCCCACGACTCAGACACAACCTCGCCCACCATGGATATCCGCCTCCTCAAGCCCGCCGACCTCCCCCTCATACAGCACGCCAACCTCGAGAACCTGCCCGAGAACTACTTCCTAAAGTACTACCTCTACCACGCCCTCTCGTGGCCCCAGCTCAGCTATGTCGCCGTCGACGTCTCCCGCCCCAAGCGCACCCCCTACGACTACCCCAAGATCGTCGGCTACGTCCTGGCCAAGATGGAGGAGGAGCCCACCGACGGCGTCGCCCACGGCCACATCACCAGTCTCAGCGTCATGCGCACCCACCGCCGCCTCGGTATCGCCGAGAAGCTGATGCGCCAAAGTCGTACGTTTCCACCTCTGTTCCTACGCGGACGCGCTGTCTACGGCATTGCTATCGACCAAAGGACTGACGGACTGACATAACCACAGAACTCGCCATGGTCGAGACCTTCGGCGCCCAGTACGTCTCCCTCCACGTCCGCGTCTCCAACCAGGCCGCCATCCACCTCTACCGCGACACCCTCGGCTTCAAGAACGAAAAGACGGAGAGCAAATACTACGCCGACGGCGAGGACGCCTACTGCATGAAGCTCGACCTGGGCTACATCCGCGAGCAGATCCAGGACGAGCGCGACCGCGAGGAGGAGGAGGCCGCTACGGGTGAAGCCGCAGACGAGGGCGAAGCCGTGGGCGACGTCGGGCGCGATCCGAACGCGCCCGCCGCTGATAAGAAGCGCAAGGTCAAGGTCGGTCGCGGGTTGGGTGTTGGGGAGCTTGTTGAGAAGAATGAGAGTAAGAACTAAAGGTGGAGCTCCCCGGGGGCACAGTTGGCCTGATTCTCGCTCTGATGGCTATGTGATGGGGCTGTGATAAACCGCGCGCGGGCAAGAGATTTGCTCCTTTCCTCACCTTTGGGGACAGCGTAAACGCCTGTTCGCGGCGTGGGCGGGAAAAGCACGAGGCAGATGGCACTTGACGGGCTGATGATGCAGCTCTTCGAACTGTTACCGCCATGTAGTTCCGAAATTTTGGTTGCAATCTCTCATGCCATCAGGAGGACAGACGGAAGGAAATGTAGAGCTCAATGTTGGGACGAGAATGACTGTCTGTACGAGCTTGACCTACGCAGCGGAGTTCAAAAGCTTTATACGATCATGTTCATGACTGGGTTATGGCGCATCATAGTAAGGTACCCCAAAAAAGACAGTAGACGAGGCCATTGGTGGCGGTATAATGGAAAGAAAAGTTTCCTGGTTATTCCTACAGACTATACACATGCCCGATACCGTATTCATAAGGTAGGTAAATAAGTATGAGAGGGTGGTGTGTGGTCTATCTACCACACCCCAGATTTCTGATCCTCCGCCGCCAACTCCCGCGCAAACTCCGCGTCCGCCTCGACCTTGAGTTTTTCGATATTCCTCGACAACTCGTCAATCTCCTCCTCTAGGCGCTGCGTATTGTCATCGCCGCCTCTTCCGCCGCATCCCCCGCCACGGCCACGGCCCCAGCCTCGACCGCCGCCGCAGCGTCCTCTTCCAGGATTGCTATCCCGCATCTCGGTCCTCGCCTTGTCTAGCTCCTCCACCCTTCTGGCGATGTCCTTCTCCATGTCCTCCACCGCCTTGAAAAGCGCCTGGGACGAGGGCGGCGTCGGCGTGGATGGGGCGGAGGTCATGCCACCGCCGCCGCCGCCGATGCTGGGGCTTCTGTTCCCTGCTGCCGGCGCTGGCGGTACTGCTGTGAATGGCCATGCCCCGGGCAACCCTCCCCAGTGGCCAGGACCAGGAGGACCAGGAGGACCACTGCCTGGGAAACCACCCGGCATGGAACCTCTACCCGGCCCTGGAGGTCCCCACGGCATGCCCCAAACATTCGGCACAGGAGAGGTGTTATTGGGGAAGTTGGGGATCGGAGGAGTGCCGTGTACCACGGGGGGTCGGGGAACATGAACACCAATCGGCGGGACAAACACTGTCGGCCCGCCCCACGGCGCCGGTCCGGGACCGTGATGTTGCTGGTGTTGCTGATGCTGTTGGTGTTGTGAATTTTGTTGATGCTGTTGGTGTTGTTGCTGCTGTTGGCTATGTCGACGCTGCTGCTCCTGATGTTGTCTTTGCTGCTCCTGGTGTTGTCTCTGTTGCGCCTGGTGCTGGTGCTGTTGCTGCTGTTGCTGCTGCTGTTGCTGCTGCTGTTGCTGCTGGTGCCGTTGGTGCTCTAGCTGATGCCGACGTTGGTGATCATGGTGATTAGGATCTCCTCCTAGCCCACCACGACCGCCGCCCCTCCGCGCTTCCCTATGCGCCTCTCTCTGCTCCCGCCTTGCCCCCCTATTCTCCCTCCTGCTTTCCCTCCTCTCCTCCCTCCGCTCCCTCTTCTCCTCTTTCCTCCTCGCGCGGCGTTCCTTCCGCTTTTCCTTGCGCGTTGCCCGCTGCTGGCGCTTGAGTTTGCGCCAGTCCTGCGTGATGCTTCTAATTTCCGCTCTGAGGGCTTTCTCCTCTGCCTTTTTCGACGCAGCAGAAGCTGCTGTTGCTGCACCTTCTGATCCTTTCTCTGGCTGCTGCGAGGGTTGCGTCGCCGCTATGGACCCGGCGGAACGTATGTCCTCGCGCAGCTGCGCAATATCGTCTTTCGTGACGGGCTGTTCTGGGTGTGATAGCCAAGTGGTGATACGCTGTTTGTAGATGGGAAGCTGTGAAGGGTAGAGATCTTCGTAGTCTGGCAGTGAGCCGACGGAGGATGCAGAGGATGCCGAAGATGAAGAAGAGGCGGAGGAGGATGAGATGGAGCGCTGGTCTGAGGGGTACCGGCCGGGAGGCCGACCGCGGCCTGCTGCTCCGTCTCTCCCGCCATCTCCGCTCTCATGGCGAGCGTGTTGTTGTTCTGGGCCGCTACCTTGGTAAAAGGGATGCTGCGGGTTCGGATGTGGAATGATCGGTGGCTGAGGGTGAGGCGGCCCCGTCGGGAAAAAGGTTCCTGGTACTTGGTCGGGCCCGCCAAACATGGGTGCCGGTGGCGGACCCGGAGGTGCAAGAGGCGGAGGAGGAGCCCACCCGGGGCCGGCATAATGCGCTTGCGCGCGGGGCGTGGTAGTGCTTCCAAATCTGATGCCGTTCTCGTCCGCAATAAGATTCCCTACTCGAATACCGTTGCTGCCTGCGACAATGCGGTCGCCAATGTTGATACCATCCGTGGAGACAGTGATACCGCCAAAGCTCCAGCTATTTCGTGATTCGTTGGAGCCAGACTGAGGTTGCTGCTGAGTTTGCATCGCGGGCCCTTGACCGGGATGTGCTGGGAATGGTACGGGCGTGGGACCGCCACTGCCACTCCCATCACCGAGACCAAGATCACGGTTGCCGCCTCCGATAGCAGGATTCTCAACGTTTCTGTCAAAGGACCGGTCCCACGCGCCCGGCATGTGCAGATCGTCCTCCGCTACCTCAGGTACCAGCGTGATGAGCATGCCCCTGGGTCGGAAGAACCCCTCGTTCCACTGCGCGACCACACCTTCTGCTTCCTCTCTCCTTGTACCCGAAGCAACGGCCGCCGCCCCGGGGTCGGTCTCCCTGTCCGCGCGAATCTGATCTAGTTGCGCCGAAGCATGAGCGCTACCGCCGCTGTTGCCCTGCCCCGTACCTCTTCCATTCGACCTGGCAGCGGCGGCGGCAGCAAGGGCCTCCTCCTCGGCCTGCAGCTTACGGACGATGACGGCCTCGTTCCGTGCCGCAGCGTGGTGCGGGATCAGGCAATTGAGAAACGTTGCCCAGTCCTGCTGCGTGACGTCGCGGGGGGCCCAGGCCGGGGAGTAGGGTACGTCGTCCGGTGTCGAGGTCGGGTTGACGGTCAGTGCGTGAACGAGAAGCTGGTCCCTGGATAGCGGGGCGAGTGCCGCGGGCGGCGGCCTGGATTCGAAGTAGGATGCTGTAAACTCAGAGTACGCTGTTGTTGATGCCGACACTGAACCCGAAAGAGATTGAGACTGGTGAGATCCTCCTCCAGTTGCCGCGAGAGAGCGGCTGGAGAGGTCGAGGCTCGCATTCGAGCTATGATGGTGAAAACCGCCGCCGCCGCTGCTGCCTGGGCCGCCGGTGCGGGGTGTCAATGGCGGGGTGTAGATGACTTCGCTGTGCGATGAGGCGTGCGAAGAGCCGCGCGAGGCAGCGTCGTCGGCGCCATGATGAGACGAGATGTGTTGTGAGTTTGAGGGCGGATTTGACGGCCGGCCAGAGTTTGAGTAGATGTCTGTCTCGGAGTACGGCGGAGGAGGCACATCGTCGAGTTCGGGGTCTCGCATGGCCGCCATTCGCGGTGGTGACCTGTGCTCGGCGTGGGATGGTATGTTGTGAAGCTGGAAGCAGAGCTGTCGAGACTGGAAGATATTTGATTCGCGACGATGATCAGATTATCAAATCGTTCACTAAACTGGTGGGTCAATACAAGAGAGTAAGGTAGGTAGTTTGCGACGAGAGGTGAGATGGAAAAGAGGCCAAGATGAGTAAACCCAAGACTGTGGAAAACGGCGCTACGGCACACGGCGGATGAAGAAAGTGTGGGAATACAAGGCACTTTGATGAGCTTATTAGCTAGCTGGTTGTTGTAGCTTGGCTGGGCTAAGGTTGGGCCTTCCGTTGACCGTTTGACTCAATCCTCCTCTCCTCCCCTACATCACATTTCTCCAATTCTCAACCTTGCAAGAACACATGGCCATGCTTTCCCACTAGCGAACCTCTCTGACCAGTTTGTCCCCTCGTTCGCGTAGCCTTACGACGTCTAATTCCCACCCCTCGAACGGTGAACCACAGTTCGTCACTCAATAGAGAGGTCGGGGGTCAAACCCCACACCCCTCGGGAGCCCAAGCGGTGCGGCCGAGCCCACGCCAGGTGAAGATAAGCATCAACCTTGTTTGAGGGCGACCCCTGCGGTCCACGGCGCAGCCAAAAGTTGCGAGGGGCACGCGTTTGTTCGCAATCCCCGATTGTTCAAGGTTTCCCCTCCCCCAGTGAAATAAAAAGCCACCGCTAAATTGAACCCTGGATAAGAGCAGCCCGCAGTCACTTTTCTTCGAGAAGGCTCTCTGTGCTGCAACGCGCTGACGCGGCCTCTTCGGAGGCAGCAATACGCCATCAGTGTAATCCCTCCACATCAAGCCACATAAGCCTGCAATCCAGTGGGTCTCTCTGCCATGCCGTTGGAAACGCTGCCGCGACCTCTCGAGCTTGTGTTACCCCTCCAAACTGAACGCCGTGCTGCCGAACCAACTTTCACCCTAGCCCTAGAGAGAGAAGGGGCCCAGGATTGAACCGCGAATTAGTATACTTGTACAGAACCCAGGCTATGCATGTGCCTGGTATCATCATTCAATAGCTGGGCCAGGGCTGAAAGTTCGCTTTCGTCTTCGGGCCACGAATCATCCCCACGGCCGCGGACGCCGCTGTCGCGTCCCCTGCAGCGTTAAACGTGCCAGGGTTTCCCATAGAGACATACTTCAGAGGCAGCGCTCATCGGTCAGCCTCTGTGCTCCAGAGATGGAAATCAACATCCTCTGGCTTGTAGTGATCCGCGATGATAGTGGACAGATGGTTCCGCGAGTGTGCGCCACTGTGTAGCATGTCAGTTGTGGCTCAACGCCGTCATGTTTGGGATCATGGACTTACAGATTGGTAATGTAGGTGTCGAGCAGTTCGGGAGGCACAAATTCACTAACTGCGCTGCGAACGTCGACACCGTTGACCATGGCTCCGTCTGCGAAGCTTACATGGCCCATAGAGCTTCCCCATTCTACGAGGCTCTCTTCGTCAAAGTAGCTCTCTGGGCAGAGCTTGTAGACACCGCTGAGGATAATCACCGGGTTGCCCTGCTCCTTGGCTGCGCGTGCAATCACACCAGCGCCTGCATCTGTCAGGATGCCGCCGTTGGCCAGGACGGCTCTTGCTCCCAGAATCACCTTGTTAATCCGGGGCATGTAGGCCATCAGACCGCTGTTGAGGATGTTGATCGCACTGATGCCCGCTGCTGCAAGCTTCTTCCTGAAAGATGCATATGGCGGCTCCCCACCGGAGCAGGCAGCCGTTCCGGCAGCGATGAACAGGGTGAACTTTCTTCTTGTTGCAGCGCGTAGGATGAACTTCTGGACCGTGGCTGAAGGCTGGTGCACCAACACATAGTCTCCGGGGTGAATCTGAACATCCGCAGCTCCTGCAATCTGGTCGTCCACCTGGCCGATCTCGTCCTTGAGCTCCTCGATACCCTCGCAGACTTCTGATCTCAGAGCGTGTACCCTAGTCGACAGTCCACGAAGGGGTGTTGAAGCGCCAGAGTCCTTGCCAAACGGCGATCCGGCCATGATGCCAGCAGTGTCCACTGGGGGTGACGCCTCGAGAAGGGAAAAGAGAGACTTTGAGACGTGGAAAGAGCTCGCGGACGTGAGGAAGCCGGGGCGAACGGGTCTTGGGCCGCTCGTGATGTAGTCTGAACCGGCATCCTGCTTGGTATATGTAGAGGGGGGCCATTGGTGCTCCAGCTTGGAGGGGTCTGGCACTGCTGTCGTCGGGGTTCCTCCAACTTCTGTGGCAGTCTCACTAAAGTCCTCATTTCGGTCCTCGGCAGCCTCGTCTCGGATCAGGCTCAACACGCGTCTAACGATGTTGCCAACGACCAATTCCTTGGGCTGTGCGGCGATGAGGCGCAATCCGATCTGCTGCACCTTCTCCAGCAACGAGTCGACGTCGTTCCATTTCGACTTGGCCACAACCTGAAGGAGAATATGTGCGGTCGCGACAGCGCAGAGCTCGGAGCCCTGGATCTGTCGTCTTTTCAGGAGACTGGCGGATTCAAGAATTAGCGCGGCCGAGGCAGGGGTAGAAAAGGACCATACGGCCGGCAAGATACGTACGAGATGAGACTGTCAATTGATGCTTCCAAAGGCTTACCCTTCAGGGTTTTGAGGTACCGTTCGAGGTCCCCCGTGCTGGGCTTCACGGTAGCCATTTTCGGTGGTGGGTGCTGTCGCCGAAATCAAGGTCCGATGTTGGGAGGGGTGGGAGTGAGTCGTCGCAGAGACTTTTCGGGATTGATCGATGGGGGTTACTGAAGTCGCAAGATATTCCGAAATGGCAATCTGGTTGTCTTCAGTCGCTGCACAATGTGGATGTACCGATCAATGGCCGTTGGTCTAGCTTCGGGCGTGGACTGAATGGAGAATTGGAAATTGTGCGCAAACGGTTGTGACTCAACTGTGAAGCTCAGAGAGGGACAATGAACGACCCCTGTCACGCTAAAAATTTCGAGGGGCATTGGATGACCACAAGCTCCGTCTCGCACCTCCCTTACCAGCTCAGCCAGCTGGCACCGGTAAGTGGCAGCCCTAGACAGCGGGCTAGTCTCGGCCCGAAGCAACCCGGATCAGGAGGGACACCTGTGGACCTCCAGGTGTTCCCAATCACACTTCAGCGGAAGCACTCCACTGCTCGAATACCCCTCCATCACTGCAAAATGACGTTGGCTCGCTGAATTTCTGCTGTAAGTGATGCGTTAGGGGCATCAAGTGGTTGGCTATCGCACTCTGGCTGCGAGCTGCTCGTCATCTACCAGGTTGACAGAAACCCTGAGGTTCCTTGCTTCTGGGTCGAAAATGTGCCCTGGAATGCCACCAACTGCTATGTCTCAAAAGTAAATGGGCCGTTGTGATGTTGATCTCTTCTTTTGGAATCTGATTTTATTGCTGGTTGTCTCTGTTTTGCAGAGTTTCTGTCTGCAAAATTAGTCCGCCCTAACGACCTAATCTTATGTTCAGAGTGCTTCACTGTAAGTCGAGCAGATTGCGGCTTTATTCTATCGAATTTCTGAGGAGCTAGAAAAATGTTCTCGATATACTTCATGAACACTGCTTTTGTCTCAAATGATTTACGAGAAAGCATCTATACCATTGCGCCTATATTGCCCATAGGAACAAGCGCGAAGGCAATGTATCGGGATGGCCTGTCATCTTGGTTCAAGCATGCATCTTACACCTCAGCTTTAACTAAAAAGTTTCTTCCCTTCTCTGGCATCTGAAGCATTCTGGTAGTATCAGCGGTCTGTGGTAGGATTTATTGTGAGTTTCCGCAAATCATGTCCTAGGCTGCTACTTGGGTTGTGAGTTGAGTCTAGAATATGTGCCATTCAATTGACTTCTAAGAAGCAACCACACCCAACATGACAGGGAACTCGTACGAGCATCTAATGACAGAAAGGATCTCTCTTATTAGAGGTGTAGACAATAGTCATGTATCCAGGCTGCGACTCTATTGAATTAGCGAAAGGTCTCCATAGGCTTTTGGTTCAACGAGGGGTTTTTTCTCAGGCAGACAAAAGGAACTGCCTGGGCTCGGGATGAGAGGTCGGAGCGAATGGTTGAGCGGCATTGGAACACGGATACGAAAAGTGATGGATCGGAATTGCGAGGCCCAAAAGAGGCCGTATTCCGCCAAAGATTTGGATGCTGCAGATTCAGAGTGCCCGCAGACTGCGGCCCCCCGATTCGTGCCCTGTCGGCCCTGTCGCTGTTCAATCAAACCCTCAACAACGACAGCAAAAGTGGAGTGGCTCTCTTTCACATGGGAAAAAGACGAGCACACAGTTCAAGATTACAGCCAGAGAGCAAGGTAGCTCGGTATCGGCTGATGGACGTTTTCAATCATTTCACACAAATCCTTGCCATTGTTAGCGAGAGCTGATGCCCGTGGCAGAGAAAGATACTGCGGGAGATGGTAACATAGAAAGGACATATGACATTGCAGGAAATAGTGCGTATAAAAAGGTCAACTGATTCATACCTATGTACCTTACAGGCTTAGTTCCGCAGGTACTGTTATCCCGCTCCTCATCCTGCCAGTTTGTGTTGGGGAAGATAGATACCTCTGAATGTGGGCTGAGGTACATCCATTACGTAGCCGCTTGGCAGCAGCTGGCCCGCTCATCACCCACGTCCTGCATCTTCCAAAAACTGCAACAGCGAGTGGAAAAGATGAGGCGGCAAGAGATAGTTGTCCAGTGGTCCAGTGGAATAAAGTGAACAATTCGACACGTGAACCTATCTTCATTGCCCATTCCCCCACAAGGGTCAGCAGGCAGTGTAACCCCACGGTCAGCCCTGGACCAATACCGTCAATACCGGCCGGCATCAAATCGTTATCCCAGTGCCACCACGGTCCAACCCGGCCAAACCCAGCAGATTTCCATAGTGTTGAGCTGCTGCTGCTGCTGCTGCTGCTGCACCTACCTTACTGTTGCTCCCCTCCGCTTGCTTGCTTGCTCAGGTTCCTTTCCGCGGCTTCCACTCGCGCCTCTACCTCACCTCATCTTGCTTTAACTACCCGTACCTCAGGTACTGGACTACTTGCCGACACCTCCAATCACAGACCAGGTCCCTGTCCTTGTCATCCATTGCCTTTCAACACTACCGCATCCCGGCCGCCTCGATACCTCCAACTCCCGAAAGCCCGACTGACCCTTTTTGCGTCTTTCCTCCCCTCTCAAGGTCTCAAGGTCTAATCGACAGGTTTGCGCTGACGGCCACATATCACTTTAGCGTCTGTTAGCTGTCGACGGACGAACCTTTTTCACCAGCGCCACCACCTCGCGCTTTCATTTTCCTGGGCCTCGTTCGCCTATGGCGAGCTGATTGTTGCCGTTCCTTGGACTTGGGGGGAAAACCATCTGGACAGCCCGCCGGCTTGCATTCCCGACTACGAACACAACCACCACGATCACGACAGACTCGTCGAGTACCTCACCTCAACCTTACGCAATCCCACTAAGCATCACAGACTCAGCGGCAAACCTTTGAGACGATTGTCAACCCTACACTCGCTTCTCCCTACTGCGGTGTATTCGAAATACTCGCTCGACGCCCATTTCTCCCAACGCGACTGCGAATACATCGCCTCCTTCGTCGCGCGGAACGCCTGGAACATTCCTGACCACCGAAACCACCCCTTACTATTGACCCTCGACGTCTCCTAAATCCTTTCACTCCCGCATCGCAACCCGCCGTCGACCCTCCATGCCTCATGGATTGCATATCCTATCAAAGATGAACTCCCTGAATATCATCACCTCTCGCGTCTCTCCGCCGCCGAGTCCGGTTGCCTCGCGATCCAACTCCATTGGCTCCTTGGGATTGGCCGTCCAACCTGACAGCGACCAGCAGAGTGACGAAGGCGCAGACAAACAGGGCGACGACCAAGACGAAGATGTTTTCCCCCTCGAAAAGACGGCTTTCGAACAGCGCAACGACGCACATGGTGCATTAGACCTCGCGAGCGAAGCTACGCCGCTAATAGGGGGAGAATCGAAAGAAGCAGGGCTGAGATCAACTTCATGGCACTCATTGCCTCGGCGCATCGCTGCCGGCTTCATCAATTCCCTCCGCTGGGTATTGTCCACCCTTGCCGCCCCGGGCGTGTATCTGATTGCCTGCCTTTATGACGACGCAGGGGATTTCTCGCTCTTTTACCCATTCAAAAGATTATTCGGCTTGCACAATAGAAGCAACAAAAAGCTCGCGACAGACTTTGCTGGCTCCGTGGACGAAAAGTCGGGCCGGCAGGGTAGCGCCGGATACGGAGGGGTTGCGTACTCAAGACCAGTGGGATCATCAGGTTCATCTTCTTCAGGCATATCTTCAGAATCGGACTCGGATGCCGATCGCCGACGCCGGGGCTCCACCGGTCGACACTCGCGTTCAAAGTCCGCAGCGGAAGAGATTGCGCCAGCACGGAGGTCTATTCGGATCAAGCTACACAGTGAGGATGCTCTTCCGCAACGAAAGCACCGAAAGACGCAGTCTGCGGCAGCACGGCCCAAGGGCAGCGGTGAATCTGGCTCTTCCGACATTTCCGCGCAACTGAAGTCTCCGACGTCTCCCGCAGGCGCGCTGACGCGATATCCAAAGACACCAGCCCCTCCTCGACCCTTGATTCCTCGACGACAACCATCATACCTCAACCTCGAGCCTTCGACTGATCCTAAGTACCAAAAGACTCTCATTCTGGACCTCGACGAAACCCTGATTCACAGCATGTCCAAGGGGGGACGCATGAGTACGGGGCATATGGTTGAGGTCAGATTAAACCAGACGTACGTCGGTGCCGGAGGCCAAACATCGATCGGACCGCAGCATCCCATTCTGTACTGGGTTAACAAACGTCCACACTGCGATGACTTCCTCCGTCGGGTAAGCATTGTTCAAGATGATTGAACAAGTAGTTGGCGCTAATCGTGTGATGAAGGTTTGCAAATGGTATAACCTCGTCGTTTTCACGGCCTCGGTCCAGGAATATGCGGACCCCGTGATAGACTGGTTAGAGGCAGAGAGAAAATTCTTCTCGGCGCGATACTACAGACAGCACTGCACGTTCCGACAGGGAGCCTTCATCAAGGACCTTAGTTCCGTTGAGCCGGACTTGAGCAAGGTCATGATCTTGGATAATAGTCCACTGAGTTACATGTTCCATCAAGGTGTGTAATGGCAGTATACGATCTATATGTGGGAATTCGACTAACGTGGGCCTCGTCGCTAGATAACGCCATCCCTATTCAAGGCTGGATTAACGACCCGACAGACAATGATCTCCTGCATCTAGTGCCACTGCTCGAGGGTCTCCAGTATGTGTCGGACGTGAGGGCGCTGCTTGCATTGCGTGGAGGCGAAGACGGTCAGCATATGGCGTAGAACTGGATTGGGACTGTAGAAGGGAATCTGGTGTACTGTACTGGCATGGAAACGGGCAAAGCGAACACCAGCGGCTTCAATTTCGTGGTGCAGCGGTGTATTAATAACATTTGGTAAAGGGATGGTAAGAGGAGTTATTGGGCGGCACGACTGCAAAATGTCGGTACGATTCTGTAGAGCTTCAGGAATACATGCCAGGCCACCAGCCTTTTCGACGTTCAGCGAGAACATGTTATTGAATGGAAATGTCGGGTTGGCAGTGACAGTGTAAAGGTAGACGATGGGAACTTGTGGACGTTAAGCCGTGGACGAGCTAGACGACATTTCCGACATTCCGTCTTTTCTTGCCTTGTTTGTACCTGAGCTAGAGCAGCTGGATTATGCACAAGTGAATGCGGGCGACCATTCGAGAAACGAAATTCTACGCTGCAATGATACCATCCGTACGTCAGGTAGCTCAGCTACCCTTGCTAACGCGGTTTTCCTAGACTCGGCGGGAGCTATGTACATTGCAGAAGTTGGCAGGGCCTGGGAACCGGAAACGAGGCGCAGTTTGTATGGACAAGATTGGAATTGCATTGACCTGGGAGTGCGCGAGTGCCTGAGCATCATTTGCCTCGGGCATGGGGTGACGGGGGGACACGGGAAGTGTGAATCTTGCACTAGCCACACCGGAAAGTCGCATCTCGATCGTTTTTGTTGCTCCAGATTTTCGTCAATCGCTCTCCACTGTGTTTTGTTTACGGCAACCTTACCTAGTGCGGGCGGGAGCCACAGAGCCACAGAGCCTGAGGGCCTGAGGAAAATGCAGGGGAGTCGAGGAGGACTCGCTCCGGGACCTTGTCGCGGAAAACTCCCTCGCGGGCATACGCGGGCGAAGAAAGCTCGAGCTGATGGAAAGGATGATGTGCTAAACCCAGACGGCCCAGAAGGTCGACGGGACGGGCTAGATGCGGATAGCTTGGGGGGTATGGAGTAACTACGAACTATGCGGGTCCAGGGAGAGAGGTCGAGAAGGTCCACAGGAGAGAGGTCTCGACCAATGATCGGAGCAATTTTGGGCGGGCAGGCCTGGGCTTGTGGGTTCGGCGGGGAAGGTGGGTGGTGACATCATTCGACAGGTGACGACACCACGACATCGACAACTGGGCGACGTGAGTGAAAGAGGCATAGCTTGGGTTTTTGGAGAAGCTTGGGACAACAGACATTGACACATCTCAATTGAATAGGTGAGCTGAGAGTGAGAGAGAGAGAGGAGTAAGGAGAGAGACGGGAGAGAGAGCTCTGTGACATGTCTCTCCGTAGCGAATTGCCCACCCCTGCTTCGTACCATGTCCAGCTACGCTCTTAGTTCCAAAGTAGCTTCATGCTTCACGCTCTACCTACCGCAGCATGTACATATTTTTTTATGGCCTGAGGGAAGGAAGCCCAGGTCCAACCGATGATGGAATGAGACCTCGATCTGGCCCCTTCCCTTCGCGGCGCCTGAGGTACCACCACCAGCCAAGGTGAAGTAGCTTCCCACGCTTCCCTCCTCTCTTGTTTCGCCCTGGAACGAACGAACAGGTACGAAGTAGTTACGCACTTGCCTGGCTCCGGTTACCTCCTTTTGCATTGCAGAGGCTGAGGTCACAGGTGGCTCACACACACACGCCGCCCAGTTCTCTCTCTCCCTCCCTTAGCACATAAAAGCCTTTGCCCTCCCACTCATCTGGCTCTGTTTACACCACTTCAATTGATTCTCTTTTTTCATCACAATAAGATACCCCAGAAATCAGCCATCATGTCTCTGCACTGTAAGTCGCTATTCCGATTCCGCTGTGAGAGAGAAGCTTGAGGAAGCATCACGCCTTCTCTACGTAGCTCAACTCAGCTACCTCGCTCGCCCTCTCATCCAGGCTTCCCGAGGGAGAATGCGCCCTCGTCGGGCTCGAGAGGAAACCCAGCCATCATCAGGTCAATGAGAATAATAACTAACAATCTTCTGCAACAGACCTCCCCCCCGTCAAGCCTTCGGCTATTGCCCTCGGCACCATCTTCAACCACACGGCTGAGCTCGCTGGTACGTGAAATGTCTCTCACCAAGCTCCATGCTGGACACCGGGCCATTCCATGACAGAATCAGCTGACCCAAGCTCCTCCCCCTCAACAGTCTTGACCCCCATCTTCGGCCAGACCTACCAGCGCGCCAAGGCTGCCAACACCAAGGAGGAGTTCGCTCGCTCCAAGGAGGCTCAGGGTGCCGCTGTCGCCTGGGGTACTTCCCTCGTCGGCTCTGCCCTCCAGTCCTACGGTGTTGGTGCTCTCATCAACGCTACCGGCACCCTGTCCTACAAGGGCGCCGCCTACCTCGGCTCTCTGATCTTCTTCGCTACCTCTGCTCCCGGCGTATGTCATATCTTCTTCACCCTTCACCGTCCTTCAATCACTAACAAGTATGCAGTACATCTCCCAGGTCTTTGTTGAGAAGCGCCCCGTCGACACCGTTGGCGTCAGCGTCCTGGCCAAGGTCATTGAGACTGTCGGTCTGTCGGTATTCCTCACCTGGTGGGGAACCCGCACCAACCCCTTCGACTAAAGGGTTTAATGCATTATGAATGATTGAGCATTCCCGGAAAACGGATTGCTTGTGTGCTATTAGCGTTGGGTAGGATGGGATGAGGACATGGAGTTCAAAGATAGCCCGCAATTGCGGCTAGGGCCATTGTCATGTACCTACACTTTTACGTCTCAAGCCATGATTCCATTAATTAAATCACCAAAAACTATCCTCGCATTGGCACCTGAGAGTTCTGTGAAATACCTTCCTTTATAGTTAACAAGTGTGCTACTTCAAGAAATTCACCCAATTTTGTGTCATGAGACATGAAGGGAAGATATAATACTGGCCGGATGTGAGTGCCGCGACCAGCAAAGAACAACGAGGGATTTGTGTCTTTATTTGTGTTGAGTCACTCGGCAAGGGAAACGTGCTCTCTCAGCTAGCAGACGTTGCTTGCCACTCGACAAGTATCTCCACCACGCGTCAACACCTCGGATCATCAAAGAGCCACACTGCAACATGCCTTGGATTATTTACCCATAGCACTTACAACTCATTCATGTAGGAGGGGAGCACGAGAGCTTTGCTTTTACGGGCAGGTCTTTCTTAGGTGGAAAGATACACATCACAATTTGCACGGCCGATGGAAGCCGACTGGCGGGACAGAGTGCCTTGAAAGGCCCTCAACCAGGCAAAAGGTCACAATGGAAAACATCAAGAGGGCTTCCGACACCTCGTGTCAGAGAGCCCCGGCAAAGCAAGAGAGATTTCCTCCACACCTCCGCACCCTTAAAGGTTCCAACGGAAGTTGTAATGATGGTTAAATCATTTATTTGTGTTTCTTCTTCCCTCAAGACAGAATCTTGAAAGATGGAAAGAGAGAACGGAGTAGTGCGAACAAAAGAGTACTACACCATATGCCCAAAGTTGCCCAATAAAACGCCGAATTCTTTCTCTTTTGTGTTGTAAAGCCAGCCCGCAAAAAAGCTTTTTTAACCCCACCCGTATAGTGTGACAATTCATCATTTCTTTTCAACTGTACTTCCAGTTCGACATGTCGCGTATGCCCGTACGGGTAAGACGAACAGTAGCAGCAGAAGCTTACTCGTCTATGCCCAGAAGGACTGCTTAGCAGTCTCCTTCTGCACGAGCTTGACGAGCGCGGCGTAGACCTCGGAGTAGTCCTCGCCGTCGTCCTCCTCGTCGTCGCCCTTGGACTCGCCGGCCTTCTTCTCGGCCTTCTTGCTGTCGGCGGCGGAGCGCTTCTCCGAGACCATGACGACGGAGGTAGGGCGCTTCGTCTTGGCGGCGGCGCCGAGCTCGGCGCGGGAGGTGACGAAGATGTAGGGGACGTTGTGGTCCTCGCAGAGGACGGGGAGGTGGGAGATGACGTCCATGGGGGAGATGTCGCCGGCGATGACGACGACGCCGGGGAAGGCGGTGTTGCCGGGGCCGGCGGCGGGGGACTTGCGGAGGGTCTTGACGACTTCCTTGACGCCGCGCTTGAGGGTGTTGTTCTTGGCGGCTGTGACGGTGTTTATTAGTCTTTTGTTCTGAGAATGAAGAGTCTTCTTGCTGGCCGATGAGATCCGCGTAGGTACCGCGTCTATGAAGGAGGTGAGAAAGGGGGGGGAAGAACTTACCCTTGCGAATGGACTTCATGACCTTCTTCATGGCCTTCTCATCGGCCAACGGCACGGCAAAGGGCACGAGGGCGCCGACGACGGGGAGGCCATCGGCGACGACGGTGGTGACATCGCCGCTGGCGACGGTGGTCGCGGCGACGTCAGCCTGGAGGTGCTCGTCGAGGGCGCGCTCGAGCTTCTCCTTCTTCTCCTTCTTGTCCTTCTTATCCTTCTTGTCCTTCTTGATGGCGCCGTCGGACACGGAGCGCTTCTTGTCCTTCTTCTCCTTGCGGTCGGGCTTCTCGGCGGCCATTGTAGCGGTTTTCTTTGGTGATGCTTTGAATTGAAACCTGTAAGAGGAAGGGTGCAATTGGCGATTGGCGACGGCGAGGGACTCCGGGGTGGGCAGGCGACGGTCGTGGGAATTGAAGCTTTCGGCTCGAGGTTCGATAGGCTCGATTTTTTTTTCTCGCTTCCTGTACCCTTTGGCCAATGCAACTTTTTTCTAGGTTGCCCCACCTCTGCAGCTGTGCGATTGGGGAGCTTCGGTGCCACGGTATATCCGCGCCGAACCGCATTGGTTTTTGCTCACCGAAGGGTATGTCTCGGTGAGTAGGTCACGTGGGTGCAGCCGACCAATCACGGTCCCGATATTGAGCAAATGTCAGCGCTGTATCAGGGCCGCAGACATGATTCAATTTCCACGGACAATACGAACGCATTGGAGAGTCGGACTACTCGTCTTACTAGATCCAGGCTGAGTAGCTAGGAATCAGCCTTGACGGTATAGCAAAGCAGGGTGTTGCGACATCTTCGGCTCAGACACTCGCATCAATGTTTTAAGGCCTTACGAAGATCCGTTGCGAGTCAAGGGACCAGTCAACATCTAATCATGTGAAATACGTCTACAATCATAGAATATGTGATATGCTTAAATCGTCCAAATGGGGCTCTATTCCATGTCTCCCCCTCTACGTAGTTGATATACACGTGTTTTGACACAGGGAATCGTTGTCCACCTCTAGCACTCGTCGTCCGCCTTATTCACAAAGGAACGTCTACTCCTCGTCGCCGAACTCGGCGCGGCCCTGCTTGGAGTTCAGGTAGTGGTTGCTGTATCGATTGTTAGCGCAATGCCTTTGCTTCATTTCGGATTGCCCTCGTTGTTGCGTTTGTTGCTGCAACCGAGTCCGTGGGAGTGACTGACCGGTGGGTGGCCCAGTCCATGATGTACCAGCCGGCGACCAGGGGAGGGAGAAAGTAGAGGACCTGGTGGCTGAAGCGGCGCCAGGTGTTGAAGACGGCGTCGTGGGCGGCGCCGGCGAAGGGGTTCTGGCGGTTGGGGGTGATGCCGTAGGTGATGATACCTCTCTGCTTCTCGCCACCTGAGACTATTGTCAGTACTTATGTTCGATTCGAAATGCGTATCGTTTGTGCATCGTAATCAGCCGTCGAATCCTAGACGAGTCCCTCCTCTTAACTTCTCCGTTTTCCGGAAACCATTGTCCATCGTTCAACCGCGTCGCCATCGTAATTCGACATCGGGATAATCGCGAAAAGACATACCAATGTGTCCCCACCAGCCGAGGTAGCTATTTCAACGTCAGCGGGCTATTCAAACGATGCAATTGGGACCAGTGCATGGCGCGGCGGGCAGAGGGAACTTCATGATCTTCCTCATTCGGAAAAAGCCCGCACGCTCCTTCCCGTTGGCCTGCTCAATTGACCTCCAACAAGGAATTCACTTACTGAGAGTACTTTCCGTGGGGGACGCTGGGTCCTCCCATAAGAGCTTGCGTAGGTCTCATCGTGGCGGTTGTGCTGTGGTGGACGGTGATGTGCAACACGGGTTTGGATATTCTGGAGTAAATCGGAGAGGGTCGAATCGGACGAGGTTCAAATCTTGTCCTTGCCTTTCCTGCCGAACCCGAAAGCTGAGGCGCACGTCCCGAAACGGCTTAGCGCAGACTGTCCCTTTCGAACCGTCACCACCCATCCGACCACCCCGGTCACCCAGTGCGTCCCAAAATTCCATGACGGAGCTTACCGCCGCCGCATTCTGGTGAGAGGAGCTTTCGGCAAGCTTCAGTCCTGACGGATACACTACACCACCAGCCCACCACCACGAACCCGCCCCTCGAAGCTCAACTCGGATAGCCCGCGATACCCTCCAGCGGACTCGAAGCGCCCCTCCTTTTAACGCAAACGAACGTTACCGCCACGCTTTCATCAGCCATCCGACATAATGGCTCAAGCTCTGGGCTTTGCGTACCGCATGGCCGTTCCTGCGGCCATTGGTATCGCGGTCGTGCAGTCGTCAATCTACGACGTCAAGGGTGGATCCAGAGCAGTCATCTTTGACAGGATGTCCGGTGTCAAGGACGCCGTCATCAACGAGGGCACGCACTTCCTCGTGCCGTGGCTGCAGAGGAGCATCGTCTTTGACGTGCGGACGAAGCCGAGAAACATCGCGACGACGACGGGCAGCAAGGATCTCCAGATGGTCAGCTTGACCCTCCGTGTGCTGCACCGGCCCGAAGTCCAGGCCCTCCCCAAGATCTACCAGGTGAGTTTTTTTTTTTTCTTTTTTTTTGTTCTTCTCTATCTAAACCACAACTTCCCTCTGTGCTGGAAAAGTACAACATACGCTGACAAACCACCCACTACAGAACCTCGGCCAAGACTACGACGAGAGAGTCCTCCCCTCCATCGGAAACGAGGTCCTCAAGTCCATCGTCGCCCAGTTCGACGCCGCCGAGCTCATCACCCAGCGCGAGGCCGTCTCCCAGCGCATCAGCTCCGACCTCCGCAAGCGCGCCGCCGAGTTCAATATCGCCCTCGAGGACGTCTCCATCACGCACATGACCTTCGGCAAGGAGTTCACAAAGGCCGTCGAGCAGAAGCAGATTGCCCAGCAGGACGCCGAGCGCGCGCGCTTCATCGTCGAAAAGGCCGAGCAGGAGCGCCAGGCCAACGTCATCCGCGCCGAGGGCGAGGCCGAGTCCGCCGAGACGATCAGCAAGGCCATCGCCAAGAACGGCGACGGCCTCGTGCAGATTCGAAAGATTGAGGCCGCGCGGGATATCGCGGCGACGCTGTCGTCGAATCCGAACGTCGCGTACTTGCCGAGCGGCGGTAAGAGCGGTAATCAGATGCTGTTGAACGTTGGCCGGCCGTAAAGTGGTTTGGTCGCGATGTCAAGAAGGAGTGGATGAAGTGGTGAAAAAAATGAGGGCGACGCTGTATTATAGACTTTGAAGACAAGTCACCGCTTCAATAAGTGTAATCATAGGGCAATGAATTCTGCCGCCTTTCCACACACTTGTTTCGTGCCGTACCCTTGGTTTTTGTGAAAGCCCAACTCTCTAAGGCGGGCTGAAGGGTGAGCTGTGGAGTGTACACATCGATCATGTGATGTAGAGCTCTCTTCAATGGCCAAGAACTCCGTGACAGCACCTAGAAAGCACCCGAAGACGAACACCGAGAGCACTGGTGACGTCCTGAACAGTCTCGCAGATGGTAAAAAGTTAATCTTGTCGACATTTCCACACATGCTTCTCTAATATGCGTTCTGGTCACTTCACACCCCCTCTTGTCACGATTTTGAGCTGTCTACAATTCAACAGTCATTGAGTATCTACCCCTCCTGGCCCTGGTCCAAACAGTACGATGCTTACCCGATGGATGAAGAAACGCCAGGCGACTATTTTGTTACTCACCGGATAGGTACACGTTAGATAGTCGCACGCAAGCAATCACATCGTGGAAAAATAAGTCAAGAATAGCTGAGTGAGAATGGTCCCATGTACCAATTAGTATTAAGAAAACCCATGTAGGGTAGGTATCATAATTGCAAAAGCCCATCGACCCAAGGGATCATTTACCTGAGGACCCCATGTCATCCCTAACGCCAGCTCATTCTCTCGTAAAATCAACCATGTGCTATGCCCACCCGGCTCTAAAGGGCAGATTCAAGGAACTCGGCAGTCAAGTGACCATTGAAATCGTCCACCTTGCCGCCGGGCGGCACGAACTCACCCCCCTCAAGCTTCCAACCTTTGAGCTTCATGCTCTTCCATTCCTCGGAGAGTTTCAGGCGCACGAGATCTCCCGCAGCCCGGGCGTCTTCCGCACTGTCGTGTCCCTGAACCTTGCCAGCCGTCTCAACTTGAATTTTACGGTTAAGAAGGCTGTCCATGAGCATCTTCAGGCCAAGGCGGTACGGAAGGCCGTGCTTGTGAGGGTAAAGAAGAACAGTGTCAATGATAGTAGGGTGGACGATGCGAACGGCGTTCAAGTCATTCTCCAGTCCGTGTCCAATTAGTGGAGTCTCGGGACTGATGAGGGCAAAGAGAAGGTCGCGAGCAACTTCAGGCGACGACACAATCTTCATCTTCTTCTTGGTCTTCTTGGGGCTCGACATCTTCTTCGCCTGGGCAGGAGTTGGATCTTCTTCCTTTGCAGTCCAGGGCTCGGCGGATGCCATGTCTTCAGGCCACACACCCGAGTAGCGCGAGTTGAGATCAAGGATCTCACCGATGGGTTGAACGAGGACATCCAATAGCTCTTCTCCAGTAGGCCACGATGTTGCAGTTAGGCGAATGAGCTCAAGGCCATGGACCGTGTAGCACATTTCGCAGTCGAAGCCAACAGCTCTGTCGGTGGGAGCATTGGGGTTGGCGGGCGTCTCGGCGTAGTTGAGAACGGAAGCCAGTCTCTTGGGATCTGATGCCTTGAAAACGTGGTGAGCGTTGGAGTGGCAGCCGGCAGAGTCTCCGACAGCCTGCCCACAGCATCGGTAGCGTTTGGGTTGCTGAGATCTATCGCCCAACTGGCGCTCGGGAAAGTAGGTTTTGCCCCAGTGGAAGGTGCAACTGCCACCAGAGGCGAGAGCTCCATCCTCTTCTCTTCTTCCAGGGAACATCTGGAAGCGCTTGTCGCAGCGGTCACACTTCTCCCAACCCTTTGCAGCATCAAGACCCTCACGGGCTTTCTGGATGTCGGCCTCGGCAGGGACAGAGGAGACGTAGCCGTGGGCGGCAAGGCCGTCGATGGGGGTGATGAGTTGGCGAACAAGCTGGACTTCCTGGGCCGGGGTCAAGCCCGTAACAATCTTCTTGGGAGGGGCGGTAGCCTTGCTGTGAGGGCCCTTTTGAGTCGTCTGGCGGCGTTGAACGACTCTCTCCTCCTTCCACTGAAGGAGTGTCATCTTTTTGTACTGCATGATTTTGTTTTTGATTACGTTTGAGTAGATGGCGCCTTTCTCTATCGCCGTGGATTCTTCTTCGTCAAGGACTCTCCAAATGAGATCTTGATCTGTGAGAAGGAGCTGCTTCTCTTCTGCGTCTTTGGCAGTCTTCTTGAGCTCGTTGTTCAGGCGGGCGTATTGTTCATGTAGCAGCTGCACTAGCTTGAATCGTATCTCAAACTTTGCTGGTGATGATTTGAGTAAACGAGGGTTGAGAGCCTCAACCTTCCTGATCTTCTTAGGAGGGTCGGTCTTGGATGGAGTGGAAGGAGTGTCTTTTTGTGTTGAAGTTAGGTTTACTGGGGAAGAATGAGATATAGCAGTGGCAGGTGAATCAGCCTTGCGTTTAGTTGGAGGATTAATAGACGATGATAAAGGAGAGGACCTGCTTGGAGCAGAGTGATTCAGTGACTTCCTGAGGTCGGACGAAGAAGCGAGAGAAGGTGCGACTGGTTTAGACTGTGGAAGCTTCTTCACGACCGTGGAGGAGGAGGACGATGGACGCTTTAAAGGTGGAGGTGAGATGGGCCGAGCGACAGGTGACAGAGTGTCATCTGGTCTTGGTGCGGTAACGTCTTGTTTTGAGGTCGTTTTGACAGGAGTGGGAGGACTTGTAGAATCGGCGGGGTTTCTGACGTCTTGGGCAACCTTCAGACGTTTTCGAGGGCCATCCCGGGTTGCATCCGTCGTGGTATCAGTCGACCTTTTTGCCGACGTTCCTGACGCGTTGAGTGCCGGTGCTGATGGTGCCGCCATCTTATCCCTGTCTGCTTTATGCTGGAAGAGGCACATGAAAGCTGTGCATTGCTCTCCCTTGGGACAGGGAATGTGTTTGAGGTCTACAAAGGACATTGTGACAAGACTCTCCTCAGACGCTGTAGAAATACAATGGTTCTGTTGAACAATGGCAGGACCGCCAGACGCGGCTGCTCCCTTGTTCGCCTGTTACTACAACGCTAAGAGAAGGAACGAAGGTGACGGAGATGGGAGACCGCCAGAACCTCGTTTGCAGACGGAAGTATACGTTGGAGGGTATACACGGACGAAGCTGTGAATGGTAGAGAGAGTGGGGTGAGGCTACTGCTTGTTGGTGTGGGATAGATAAAGCCTAAGTGGGCTCGAAAGGGATAGAGGGAGATTGAGTGTGAAAGCGCCGATTAAGGCCTCGAAGATCCGGGGGAATGGTGCGAGGATCTCATAGCCAAAATGGCAGAAAGCAGACGCAGACGCAGACACAGATGGGGCCAATGTCGTTAGGTCAGGTTGTGACGTTCCAGTCGGAGAATTCGCGGGTCCACGGACAAAGGGGACGTTGGTCGGTTGTGGCGCGTAGACCGGGCGAGGCTGACACAAGAATGAAGTAAGATTGGGTGATGCTGCAAAAAGACGATAACGGGAATATCCAAGGCATAAAGATGGGTTGGTTTGGGACAGTGTCACAGATGGTTGATGTGTCTCGAATCTTGTCGGAGTTGGGATGAAGGGAGGCTCCGAGCGTCTGGAAGGATTACCTAAGTCTCAAGGTGCATCTTTACGGCGTAAGGCCAGCTTGAAGCTCTAGTGGGGCCGTTGACCGAGAATAGCACTGGATCTTTCCGTACCTGACGGAGACGCATCCATCTCCACTGTTGGTCTGGATCTTGCAGTTTCCAATGCATTCTGAATACTTTGTCGTCACCTTCCCCTGCCACGCAATGAGGGCACGCAATGATCCAGGTTGCCGAGATGTCCATGCACTGGCAAGATAAGGCAGCACGCAACGAGAAATGGTCTAGCTCATCAATCGAGATGACAACCTAGGGAAGACTGCAATCGAGGTTCAGGGTAGCATCCTTTCTTGTCCTTTTACACCGAAAGTTGTTTCGACGCCGTTACATCACCCACCTGAGTCAAGTTGGGAGTTTCCCAAACCGTCAATCATCTTTTGCAGCTTGCGGCCTGCCTGCATACGAACACCCAAGAACGGCAAGGCCATCCACGTCTGCTATCGACCTGTCGCTTTTCTGAATAAGCCCGGCATCTTCGTTCCTCAACTTTGGAGAAATTGGTAGGTCCGCGATATCTCCCTCCATGGCCGTCCAGGACCCTCCAGAAAGAGCCTTGCCCACAGTATATCGTTGTTAGTTCCAGGTACGCAAACTTTATTTCATCCACCGTCTCATCTTTGGAAGCCCAGGAATCAGCCCGATAATACACACGGGCATTTCCACCCGCGCCAAGACATCGTGGAGATACATCATGGCAGAAAGTGTATTAATCACACAAAGTACACTAAAGATAAGGCTTGATTCACGAATCCCACTTGCACTGCTCTTCCGTCACATTGCACTTCATCAATCTCAGTACCTACGTCTGACGCCAGCAAGACCAAGCCCCGCCGTGCTCTCATTTGTTGTGCTCGCAGCTCGTCAGATGCGACATCTCTTATCGGATCCGCGCGGGGCTGCACAGACATGGTCTCGCATGTGATATGATGGACCTGATGATCAACCTGTCCTCCCTTATCCACCAAAACCCCTCGTTCTTGAGGTGTTGAGTTACTACTGCGTATGTACTCCATACGGGGCACAACAATAAGAATGCAGCCTTCGCACCTTCCTTGCATGGGCAGGGTGACGCAGACACGCAGATGGAGACGCAGAGTAGGCAGAGCAGGAGAGTCAAAAGCCAAAAAGACGCCCGCCAACCTAACGAAGCCGCCAGCCATTTCTCTTGCCTGCTGATAACGGGACTGCGGTATCAGAGCCCCGGCGAGTGCTAGTGGCAGTGGCACCAAGCGAAAGGGCGAAACCATGGGCAGCCCTGGTCTCGAGGATGGACTTGCCTATCGCGGTGCAACGGTTGGACAAGAGCTATTGGCGGTGAGTAGCCCGTAGTGCAGAGTCTACTGTGTAGATAAGTGTGTGAGTACGGCCGGGAGGTATGTCCTGCCTGTCAGTGTCACTCACTCCTGTGTTAGCTCAGTTATCGAGGAAATCGTTATCAAGGAGCAAGATGAAGCGAGGGGTTCACAAACCAACCTGGCTTGCTTCCTGTGCAATGCTATCTTTTCAATCTTGGGCCGTCTATAAATGAGGCGCCCAATGCCCACCACCTGGACCAAAGTTGTGATTTGAGAACCTTTGCTTTGGCAGAACGGAAAGTTGCACAACGAAGCAATCCTTTTGAACGAAGTCCACGCTTGCGAAAGCTAGATATCACCGTGACGTACCCAGCGGATGAACACCAAACACCAAAGTTCAACTCGAAATTGGGTTCTCACACACCCGTCCTATCGACTACTTCGTACCAGCGACGAGTGGGCGGCCGGCGCGCCTGCTCGGCTCAGGGTCCTCACCACCTCGCGGCAGGTTTTCATCCCTTCGACTTCCTCTCGAGTTGTTCCCCAAAATCGACCATCTTGCGAGCTCACCCAACCCAGGACTACACGGAGAGACTTGCAGCTTGAGGTGTCGTCACGGGTCGCAATCCCGACGAGCTGATTCCACCCCACCAACGGCTGCGAACTGCAGCTCCCTCCACTTTATCAGCAAGATCCCAAAAGAGACGTCGCGTGCGCGCATTCCATTCCTGTCTGCTGTCTAGGTACCTCGATCCCTACCTTACCGACAGCTTACCCTTGGTAAGGTTAGTTACCTCAGGGTAAAGTACGAGGTGTGGTTAGCAAACAAACACCGACTCTGTCCAATCAACAAACAGCTTGGACGAGTAATTGCAGCCTGCAAAGGACACAGGAGGAATCACCAGGCCGCTGAAGCCACGCGGCGCACGGTACCCTCACCCAATCGCGGCCTGGAAGCACACCACCACAGGAGACTACCGGAGCAATCGTGGTGCTAAGCCGCCTTATCTCCCCCTTAAATCCAGGGGACTTGCATACACCCCTCCAGTATTACGGGCAGCAAAGTAGCAAACGCCGCTCCGCCAGCGTGCGGGAGAGCCCGGTATTGGGGCCCAGGGCAGTGTTGGTGTCATTGAATTTCAACCCGCTAACAAGCAGCTGTCCACTGCCCTGAGCGGACTTCAGACGGCCCCCCCCCCCCCCTCCACCTCGACGGTCGGGCTTCGCGGATTGTCCGTTGGAGGGACTCTTGTGGTCGCCCCGAGAATTTAACTCGGAGCGCGTCCCACTGGAGCTTCCCTTCGACGTTCTCCATCGCAACTTTTTCCAACGTTGTTACCCTTTTCTGTTCGCTCTATTAACCGGTCCCTGATCTCATCCTACGACTATCTAATGGATTACACCGGAGGCACCGCAGAGGCCGATCATCTCTGCGTCTTGGTCCATGGGGTGAGTTTACCTTTACACCTTAGACGTCATTCCCTGTCTTTTTCTCCCTTTCTGCACCCGTCTGCAGACTGCAGCACCGTTTTCCCACGACGTCATGAATGTTTCTGAACTAACGCAACGCCGCCTCGGCTCCATAGCTTTGGGGTAACCCCAACCACATGGCCCAGATCGCCAAAAGCTTGCGCGCCAAGTACTCCGCCGACAAGCTACACCTGCTACTTGCGAAGCGAAACAGTGGCTCTTTCACGTACGATGGTATCGAGCGTGGTGGTGAGCGTGTGTGCGCCGAGATCGAGGAAGAGCTGCGCCTCATTGAGGAGAAGGGCGGCAAGATCACCAAGCTGAGCATCGTCGGATACTCGCTCGGAGGTCTCGTTTCCCGCTACGCCGTTGGCCTGCTTCACTCCAAGGGCATACTCGATACCGTGGAATGCATGGTGAGAGAAGGATCTCTTGATGCAGTTAAGGACGATGGCGACTAACTTGCGGTAGAACTTTGTGACCTTTGCCACGCCACACCTCGGCGTCCGCACACCACTCCGGGGATGGCACAATCACTTGTGGAATGTTCTCGGAGCTCGCACCCTATCCATGTCCGGCCGTCAGCTGTTCACCATCGACAACTTCCGCGATACCGGTCGACCACTGCTCGCCGTTTTGGCCGATCCCGATTCCATTTTCCTCGCGGGACTAAGGCGATTCAAACGTCACACCTTATACACCAATATTGTCAACGACAGAAGTGCCGTGCACTACACCACCGGCATTACCAAGACCGACCCCTACACCAACGTCGACAAGATCAAGACCAATTTCTTGGACGGCTACGAAGATGTCATCCTCGATCCCAATCATCCCGTGGCGCCAAAGCCAAAGATCTCGGAGCCGGCCACGCTTTCGTCTGTTGCTGGGTCAAGCTGGAAATGGATCAAGCGCGTTCCTTTCGCCATAGCCTTGACGATTTTCGTCCCCATTGGTATAATTGCGTTCCTGTTCAGCTCAGTCGTCCAGACGGTCCGTTCATCGAAACGCATTCAATTGCACGAAAAGGGGCTTGCAGGAGTGGCAATTGACGAATACCGCGGCCCCCTGTGGATGAAGGAGATTCGGGAGGAGGTGGAACACGTGTACGAGACTCTCAACAGCTCGCAAGACCAAGAGTTCCTGGGAAGTGAATCGGAAGAGGATCTGGATGAGGTCGAGATGGATCGCAGCACCACACAGCTCCTGGCTAGGGAAAGGCGCATGTCGGTGCCGTCGCAGCCTACCCTCGCCTTGGCGCCCTACCAGTTCCAGATGATTCAGGCACTCGACTCTGTGGGATGGCACAAGTATCCTGTTTGGATCCACAAGGACAGGCACAGCCATGCTGCCATTATTGTGCGTTGGGAGAAGAAGACGTTCAGCGAGGGCCACGTCGTGCTCAAGCACTGGCTTAACGAAGAGTTCACGGTCTAGACAGGGTGATTTTGTGTTTTTTTTTTTTTTTCAACTTGGAGCCGGAGTCGGAGTTGGAGAAGCGATGGATTTAGAGTTAATGCTCCTCTCGGAGAGTTCAAGTTACCTCCTGTATACATCATGTTCAACCGTGTGTTTCTTGCACCACTGATCTTTGATACCTGCGTGATTGTCGTAGATAGGCTTTACAGCCCAAGAAGATTCACATTTGAGCTGTCTCTTTGCACCCCGTGAATAGAACGTAAACATGAACGGAGAAGGCATGCTGGTACGTATCATTCCAGTCAAATGTTGCCTCCTATCTGTGGCTGTTATTATGGTGATTATCCAGCTCAGCCGGTCCACGGGATTTCAACCCGGATCGACACCTCACAAACAAACACCACTCAACAAAACAACAATCTGCATAGTTCATCTTGGGTAGCCAGTGCCCGGAAAAGACCCTACTTCCAGAACCGCCTCCATCTTCTTCTGCTGATCCCCCTTCCCAACCTCACACACATCCAAAGTACCTTTCCCCCCATCCCGTACGACTACAAGCGGGAGCGTCATACGGACAAGGATACGGCTTTCTCGCTTAAGCAGACTGTGTAATCCCGGCTATCCGGGCGGCACTAGGCTCGGACCAGGCATGGTGTCCACAGGGGTCTTGCACCCCCCCTCCCCTCTTCCGTCCCTCCCCCCCCGGCTCTTATTTCACAAGCCACACGAGTGGTCCGTGGGCCGGACGGGAAGTCGAGGACCAATGGGTTTACGATTACGCCGGCGGCGCGTTGGGCGCGTTGTAGGGGGGGGTTGCCAGAGTCAATTGCGTCGTTTGTCGACGGGAGCTCGCCGTTTCTTTGACAAACTACGTCTCGTTCGTCAGACACACGGATACATCAGCCAAGGACAGGAAGGGCTCCTTCTAAATGCTTCCAGAAATCTTGTTGTAAACTTGTCAATGTCCGCCATCGCAGCGCCATGAGTCGAAAGCATAGGATAGCGCACCTCACTTCACAATGAAGACCTCGAAACTAGCAAGAGAGACGTCGGCGCTCTTCAACAAGATGGCGGCATCGTCGCCGCCGCCGCTACAGACCCGCCGGACGACGAGATCTTCGCTGGCGCGGTTCGCATACGCATCGGATTCGACGACCTCTACGGCGGATTCCAAGGCGACAGCCACGGAAGCCGCGCTCCACGATATCGTTCTAGGCGTCGCCGACATTGAAGATGCGGTGCCCGATCCGCGGAGCAGGAAACGGAGACGGGTTGTCAAAGAGGAGGAAGTGCAAGGCGCGGAGAGTGAAAGTGTCACAGGTGTAGCAGCAGCAGCACCACCACCACCACCAAGAACGACATCAAAATCACAAACCAGAATCAAAACCGAACACATCGAAACCGACGCCACATCACCACCATCCCCTCCAAAAGCCCGCAAGACCCGTAAACCAGCACGCACGATCCGCGGCACGTCCCCTTCTTCCTCCACAACACACATCGAACCCCCAACAGACTGGTTGCAAATCTACAACACCGTCAAAGAAATGCGCCTCCATGGCGCGGCGCGCAACGCCGCCGTCGACACAATGGGCTGCGAACGCCTCTTCCACCCCGACGCCTCGGAGCGCGACCGGCGCTTCCATATCTTGATTGCGCTCATGCTCTCGAGCCAGACGAAAGACACGGTGAACGCGGTGGCGATGAAGAGGCTGATGACGGAGTTGCCGCCGCACGAGGAGGGCGCGGAGGGGGGATTGTGTTTGGAGAATGTGCTGGCTGTGGAACCTGCGCTGTTGAATGAGTTGATTTGGGCGGTGGGGTTTCACAACAATAAGACAAAGCATGTTGTTCCCTTTCTTTCCCATGATGGATGGCACACGGGGAGCGATTGCCTTCGATCCGGGCGCATGTGGCAGAACACCGAAAATGCTAACGTTGGATGTCCTAGATTCATCAAAGCAGCAGCCATCATCCTCCGCGACAAATTCAACAGCGATATCCCCGACACGATCGAAGGTCTCACCTCCCTACCCGGCGTAGGCCCCAAGATGGCCTACCTCTGCCTGTCCGCGGCCTGGGACCGCACCGAGGGCATCGGCGTGGACGTACACGTGCACCGCATCACGAACCTCTGGGGCTGGCACAAGACCACGCAGCCCGAGGCGACGCGGCACGCGCTGCAGAGCTGGCTGCCCAAGGACAAGTGGCGCGAGATCAACTGGCTGCTCGTCGGGTTCGGCCAGACGGTCTGCTTGCCTGTCGGGCGCAAGTGCGGCGATTGCGAGCTCGGGTTGGGCGGGTTGTGTAAGGCGGCGGAGAGGAAGAAGGTGAATGAGGGGCGTAAGATGAGGGAGGTCAAGGTCGAGGTGAAGGAGGAGGAAGATGGGGACGTGGTCATCAAGACGGAAGAGCTTGTCAAGGAGGAGCAGGTTGTGCGTGATGTGGCTGTGAATCAAAGGACGGAGCAGCCGGAGCCGGCATCGGAGCCGGCGGTTGGTGACGAACCGGATGCAGTTGTGAGTACGGATGCACCGCGAAGAAGTCGCAGAAGTGGCCTATCCAGGTAGTTGGGTGTAAATAGAACCCTACCTATTGTACAACACTTGTCGTAAATGAAGCAATTGGCCCATACCGGCATGACCGTTACTTGTGCGTTGTCCCGTACGGAGACGGGAATGTGCAACATCAACGCCAGGGGCGGGCGGAAATCGCAGAAATGACGTGCCGTCCGCCGGCAACGACAAATCGACCACGCGACCAGTGAACCAGCGGAATGACCGGGGTCCTACTTGTCTCGTTCTCGGGGGTCGGTGGAGAAGCGGGGGACCCGAACAAACTCGGAGGAATTCCGAATTTTGAGGTGGCCCTGCGGAAAAGGGAGTTGAAGAGTCATTGCCGTGCCTGCCGGTCGTTCCCGACACTGTGTGTACTGTGTTGTGGTGAGTTGTCAGCTGGTCCGGGCAGACGACTGCGTTGAGAGAAGATGAAAGACGGTAGCAGAACGATGGGGGCGATTGTGACTGTGTGAGATACGATATCGGAGATAGGCCGGGATAATCGGTATTCGCCCCGTTGTATGTAGTGGGCGCCCGTGCTCTGATCCCCCGTGGACCCGTGGTTCACTGGTGCCGTCATTGTCGTCCACTTCAAATCAGAAAGTAGCTTTTCGTGACGTGTGGAAAACCGGCGTGGGCGGAGGGGGATGAGGATGGGGATGGCGGAGAGAGTTGTGGCTGACTCGCGAGGTCAGAGGACGACGAAAGCGGCCATATGAAGCACGGCGTGCCACGGCTTGCAGGGGGGCCTAAGGGAAAAACAGAATTGTCTTTGCCCGCCGGGCGCCCCCTCTTCCTCCGCCTCTCCTTTGATGGATGTTCTGGAACAAGGAGGTGACAGAGTGAGAGAGAAAAAAGGGTCAAAGTTCTGACGCACTTTGTAATGTTCGTCCGTGGTTTCATTCGGCTGAAAAGGCGGATAACTCTCCGAACTGGCCCCGGCGACTTGCGGCTACTCCGCTGCCGGAACGGCCACTGCCACTGACACAGCGTGTGGCATGGTGTGGAACATCATAGTTCATAGTGAGGTTTGTTAGTCACGAAATATGCATTTGTCAAACGGTAGTGAACATGGAGTCGAGCAGTGATCAAAACTGAGTTAAATAATCGTTTGAAATATTGTCAAAATTTGATGGCCAAATTCTCCTTGGCGGCCGCTCCAAATGAACTATACGCCGGTACGCCTTGCGGAAGAAGTATAAGCCGAACTATCCTAAGCCGAAGTATGATACACATCATTGGTGTAAGGATTCGGACGGGATGCCGCTCTGAATCGTGCAAATCACGCGGAGACCAAACAGAAACGCTGTTGTCGCCGCCGTCGCTACCGCTGCAGCATTATGAATGCGAGCTGCGAAATCTCGCAAATAACTGTGTCGAAAATAACTGATCCATGCGTCGTGCAGAGGTCCAAAGATGTGGGTAGGACGTGCGATAAGGGTGTGAGCCTTGCGCCCCGGACTGGCTTGACAGCTCTTGGTGTGGTGCAATCCACGCTGTATCCGGCCTTGTGGGATAGCTCGTGGCACCTCGCCATGTGTATGTGTGTTTGACTACGCGAGCGCCATGGCGGAATGCGATCAGGATCGGTCTCGATGTTGTCGATCCGATTATACCCCACGGATAACTTGCGTGCGCTCGCTCTCGAGTTGTGCTGCATTCCGCTCATGTGATTGCTTCTTGCACTGAGCAGTAAGTTAGCAAATGAGTCCTTCATCTTGCAACACAGTACCGAGTCCTAATAACCATGAGAATGGTAACCCGGAAGTAAAACTTACGTCTTCCAAGCCGTCGCACTTGTGGTCCTCTAAGAGGCGGTGCTTGCCACAGAAGTGGCCGTTGCAGAATCCGCAGTCGCCAACGATGCGTTGAGCAGCATCCTTGCACTCCTTAAAGGTGCAGCGGATCTTCTTCTGAGGCATGGTTGGTAGTTGTTTTGGGGTGAAGACGATTTGGTTACGGGTGTCCTCGTCTGAGAGCGACGTTGGCTGGGTTTGTAGACTGCGACGTCGAGAGACGAGATCGGACTTGATCGCAGAGGATGACTCGTTGGGGTCCAGCAGCTTGCGTGGCGAGGCGGGAGGTGTGAAGAGACCGAAGTGGGATGAGGGAGACGTGAGAGAGAAAAGAAGAAAAAGAAGGAGAGAAGGAGGAAGTGAATCAGAGGTGATGAGTGAGAGTAGAAGTATTAGAAGAAGACTGGAGGCGAATTGTGTCAGTCGGTCAATGATGATCTAATAAGCAGAGAGGCAGGACCGGGTCCAGGTCCAACCGGGCAAGCCAGTCGCCAGGTCGAAGGCGGGAGAAGCGCTCACAATGACAACCAAAGACAAGACAAGGAACAACAGACGTGGAGCAGGGGACAGGGTGGCTGGTGGAGCTTTGGGTCTGGTCTGGGGAGGGGGGTGGATTATGTTGTTATTTATTGGGAAAATAGACATGCAGGGCACACTTCATCGGAGGCGCCAATGCAGGATTGATTAAAACGGAGACCCAAGCAACGAGGCGAGGCGTTCCCAGGCGGCTTACCTCACCACTTTCAGCCTGTTAGTCTGCCACTCTTGGGTGGACTTTACAACTCCACGGCCGGGAAGAGAGAGCTTGTGGCTGCGGGAGTGAGCGAGAGTTTCTCTGAAGTCTTCAGTTTGGACGGTGGGGGGTGTGACCACAACACCACACACGCAAACACACACCTCATGGCCCTCCTCCTCACTCTTCCCTCCTCTTCCTCAGCTAGACAAGTGGAAGCACTCATCCGCGCTAGATGGACATCTGCTGAGGTGCGCTCCGATGCGCTGCCATGCAATGCACGGCCAGACCATTCTGCGGTCCACGGTGTCCACGGTGTCCCCAGTGCTATCCATGCCACGCAGAGTGCTAAGGTAGCCGTTTCCGTTTGCGCATGCAGAATCCAATGGAACAACGACGAGAGGAGGTATCCGTACTTGGCCTTGCACGAGATATGGAACTCGAGGTCGTAGCAGAGATGCCGTGTCCGTAAACTTGGGCCAGATGTTGGGCCCCCAGCCAGCCCAGCAGACTATTACTGCGTATGCGTACGGAGTACGGATACACTGACGACAACTCGTCAAGTGATGCGTTGGGAAGGGTACTGGCTCCTCCAGTTGCAGCGGCTCCAGTTGCAGTGGAAGCGGCGGATATCGGTGCACAGCCATATGGGTGTGAGAGGTCAAGTGAAATACCAGAAAATCCAGGGTAGGGGGTATCCGTACAACAAGAAAGAGAGGCTCGACTCACCAAAGGCGAGGTTCCCTGTTCTTTGTTCAGCCGGAACAGTGGGCGTTTCCCTGCTGCAAAGAGAACAGGCAGTGAACAGCGTACGTGTGCGTCCGAGGTACCCAGGTACCATCCGTATAACCGAAGGAAGGTCATCGTTGGTCCGTGGTCAGGACTCAGTAGTGGGTGTAGTCAGCCGTAGGTTGGTAGATCCGATGGGGCGGGGGTCGAGACAGCGCTGATGGGGACGATGGAGTCAGGGTCGTGTTTAAGGGTGGGCGAAACGAGAGAGAGAGAGAGAGAGAGGGAGAGGCGTCGCTCTGGTGGCTTTGAGCCTCGGGATTACTGGATTGGAGAAGAGAGGCTGGCGCCTGACGCTGACGCTGACGCTGATGGCTCGGGAACCGGTACGGTAATGATGCTGGCGCTGGTCCTGGCACTCCAAAACTGTAATTGGCAGTGCTGATTTGTGTCAAATGGGCGCCAGGGCAATGCCGATGACACTGGTTGACGGTTTGTGAGGCTCCGAAAGCGGTGAATGTACGTCGGGATGATTAATTATTGTGTAGACTGGATTGTACTGGATCGGACTGGGCCTCGCGCCTCTCGTGTGTCTCTCGTTCCGTCGGGCATTCGTATAAGTCATGGCTCCGGTGGCTGCTTGTCCCGAGTCAATGGATCACTCCAGACGGATCAGCCCCGGAACAGCCTAAGATGGCTTGTCGAGATTATCGATCAGTGCTGCCAATGCCATGGATGATGGCGTTGGAGACGAAAGTAACATGGGGCGGTGGCTGACGAGGGTTCACTGGTGAGACTGAATAGGAACGAGGGTGCTGAAATTGCGCAAGGTATCCGAATACCGGCAGCGTATCCGTAAGGTAGTGCTGTGAGTGCCTCGATTCTCAAGGCAAGGATGCGCAATGTGATATACGTCAGCGGTGGTTTGGTGATGGAGGAAATGAGGTGACTTTCTGAATGCTAGTGGCAGCAAGACGACGGGATTCGATCCATGCGGGCTTGCCAACGACGCAAAGCAGACCGCAGGAGGGTGTGATTTGAAAAAATTCCTGGAACTGAGTCAGGTAGATGCAACGCGGTGAAGGCAGATGTGAATACTCCGTACCTAAGTTGAACGGTGCAGAAGTCGAGATGTAGATCGGCCTACCTTCATGTTAGACTACCTACCTGACTATTTACCTCAGGTACTCACGCACTACAGTACAGCAGATGCTCCGAGCGAGTCAAGAAGGATGTTGCTCAACTACCTTGCCTTCCACACTGCATTAGACAAATTACTTGTGGAAGATGAATGGTGAATTGCACCTGACGAATAAACAAGTCAACTGAGTAGGATCGTCGCAGGAAGAAAAGGAAGGAAGGAGCTGAGAAGTTTCCGAAGAACCAAAATGAAACTCCCATCTGCGCAACTGCCGTCAAAATCACAATTGCCAAAGGTACCTACCTACCTGCCTACTTTCCTAAGGTGCGTAGGTACCTGATCTTGCCTTGTCTCAATCATCAACTCCAGTTTCCTCTCCGCACTTCTAATGCCAACATACCGTATGTACTTCAACCTTCAAGATACATTTCTCGCCGTTGCATCGGGGCCGGTCACCGACCTTCCATCTACCGATACATCGCCGACTTCACCCCTCCCGCCATTTCCTCGGGCTGTCCAAGGATTGCCGATGGACGGGTACCGAAGCCATGTGCCGCCAAACTCAGCAGCCTAATCCATCTTTCAACCTGTCCGAACCAAGCAGGCCAATCCTCCTCATCTCGAGCAATTGTCAATGGTAGACAAGCTCAGGTCGTTCGCTCTGCTTCTCGTGCAGTACATGGCATTGCATGTCACGGCATGGCAACAGTCGCTAGTGGCAGCATGGCCTCATGGATCATGGCTTGTGCTGGAGCCCGAGTTGCAGGAGGCATCCTAGTTCCCTCTGCACCAGTTCGTAACCAAGGACCGAGATGGCTGGTGAGAGATGGGAGGGCGACTGACTTGGTACTGCCTTCCAATCGCATCGCAGTTGCCTGTCACAAGCCATCATTGTCGCTGGCCCTTGTTCGCTCTCGCCAACGGCATCCCCCGCATGAGGTACCGAATAACTGCCGCAACGTTCCGAAGCTAATAGATTGAAGCTAATAGATTAGCAGTAGACAGTTTCCTCGATGCTACTTCGATACTCCGTCAAGCCAGTGAAGCTCGCCTCGGCCGCTGGAAATTCGTTTGAACCTGCACCTCGCAGCCGTCCCATGCGCTCCAACACTGGTTCAACGTTGATGAATGAGGTGCAAACGAGGCGCTGGTAGATTCAAGATGAGCCATGGCAAAGTTATATTAATCAAAGGACAAGCATCCTATCGTCCCTTACCGGCCCGAAGTCATTGCTCTGGATAGTTGCAAGGAATAACCTCGTCTTTACTTTCTCCCAAGAGGACCGTCCCCAAGCGTCTCGGGGCTTCCGCACCGCACGCAATGACCTTCTGGGGGGCATTCTTCGGTTCCGAACCCAAAAGATGCCAGTGCTGTGACCTTAGCTTATCCCGCGACATCAACTTTCCGAGATCCCCGCGTGGACCTGCAACGGCCATCATCAGTTGAGAAGTAGTGGAACAGCAAGTGAGAAGTCTACACGGTTAGGCCGAGCGGTGCGGCCAACTCAGACGGAGCAAAGACTTTGTCCTTTGTCGCCATAGCTCGGCTCCGGAGATGCTCGGCTGGCTGTCCATCAAGTCACAACAACATGTCTCTGCATGCCGAATCGCACCTTGTCTTTGGCTAGCCTGATATTCCACAGCCACAAGTTGAGTTCTGACAGGTGGAAGGGAAAGGTGCCCTACAATAGCAGATGCGGCACCGAATGGTTAGCTACAGGTCACCCCAAGCAGTGCCGCCTAGCCTAGCGCCGTGCAACCCGACCTCCTCCCGTATTGGAGCTGGCTTCCTGCAGCCACTGCATCCAGGCGCTTGGGAGCGGCGCCATTGGCTTTTAGCATGTCCTCCAGGAGGACTATTTTCGATGCAGCGAGCTGGCCGAGATATCACGGGAAAGGTGTATATCTGGGACAAACTGCCTGCCCGTCGACAAACGCGGCTCAACGTTGTCCGTCCTCGTTCGTCGTACCCGCATACCGAACACGGGATATCCACGGTCATTATCTCGTGTCCGGTGTTGTTATCGAAGAGGGGATGAATCAAAGGATACGAATGCCCCGACAAGACGATCCTTGCGATCCGGTTGTTGACTTACCTACCTCATGTCTGGCTCGTCTTATCTTATCATCCCTGAGGGGGAATCGCATCCTGAGGTGGCCTCGCCTGTTCACGAGACCAGCCAACCTCGCATCATCGAGTAATGACCGCCTACTTCGCAGAGTTGTCGAGGGTCCGAGACCGCCTTGCATTTCGAGCCAGCAGGCCCGCACCCAATCATTTGAGGCCCGCCCGCTGATGGATCGCTGGAGCAATCGCTGGATCTTGGATCCTACGGTTCGGATGGCAATGGAGAGCACATGTGCGTTGGCAAAAGTCAACTCAAAATCTCTGGCTTAACCGCCCTCGGTGTCATTTCTCGCATTCCGCAAAACCCTCAGAAGTGAAACGCCGGGTGCCTTTAGACATGTGTCAAAAATGTGAGTTACACAATCCTTTGCTCAACATCCGATTGAGGGAATCCTCATTTATGGAGCAGTCCTGTGTTTATTTACACCGCCTCCTAATACCTTCTACGGGGACATGCTTCCCTCTCTAACTTGCCTTCTGGGTTGTCCCCCAACAGTGTTAGTCGATGCTACGCCGGACGTCGAGATTGCCAGTCTAGCCTTGATTGCCCATCAAAATTAGCCATCAATGCACTCGGATCTTGATTTACAATGGGGGGAACCCCTACTGTCCTCGGCCTCCCCCAGTCACGACTATTTTCCTAAAATTACGAGCCAAACGGTGAACCGGACGGTTTTGATGTTGTTTCCCGTGCGATTCCCCACGGTTCATTCTATTTACCACCCCCGGCTCGCTCTGCCAAAAAATCGTCCGATTCCCCAGTCCCACTCCTCCTCAACCAATATAACTATTTGGGGTCTGTGGCTTGACATCCGTCTCATCCCCAAAGAAGCAGCCCGAGGAAGAAAACAGTAGACAGCAGGCATGCCACCGGTTGATGAGAAATGAGCAAGTGTATCGGCACCGCGGCTTTACAACGGTCCAGCTAGGCCTGCTGTCAAATAGCCAACAAGCCTCAGCAGTGTCCGCACATTTCCGAGACATGTGGCGCGGACAATCTCGCTCAAAGACGGCCGGACAATGAATAATGCGGCCCTTTCAGATAAAAAGTGTAATTGATGGTTAGGATGTAGTACGACCGCAAGCTGGACGATAGCAAGAGGCCTCATACTCATGATAGAGAACAGATGTCTCAGTCCGATCCGCGAGATAGTCATTGAGACAAAGACGTATTCGTACATGTATTGCGATTCAATGGTGTTAGACGGGTATACCGCACCCTATTCTCACAAACTTGTTGTTCAGCATCATTGGTCCACCACCCCATGGTAACAGGACGAAAGAGACGGGAGAAAGAGCTGCTGTACGGAGTAATTTGGCTTGAAACTGCTCCGAAGAAGCATCCAGGATACCTAAATCTTCTCTCAAAAGCGGCGAGATAAGCTTCCGTGACGGACAGCGTGCATCTAGCAGCTCTCTCTTCGGCCTTTTGCTAACAGAACCTGCCAGATGATGAACCAACCCTGCTGGATCACTCGTCAATCAACCGGCCATCCTCCTCCTCATCCGATAATTACAGGAGTCCTACGATTTTGGTAGCTAGTGCTGATTCCACCTAGAAGTTGAGGTAGGACCAGATCTATTCCGTACTAACACAGAGGTGGAAGGAATATGTGCCCGCCCCGGAACGTACAGGGTGAGTAGGGGGCGGCACAGGCCCGGACTTTTGGGACTGTCTACTATGGGGGCCGCGCGCCGCCGGATGTCACCGCCGCGGGTCCCCGGAATTGTACAAGCGGATGGTCTAGAATCCCAATGGAAGACCACCTGAGGGGAACATACGAACTCAGGTCACAAAAGATCACTGGCGAATAAGGACATGGAATCTTGACGACATGGTGTGAGCATTTTGCTATCGACATATATCGCGACGTTGCGCGTACGGACAGGCTGAGCGGTTCCACCTCGTCACCGACGACCCAGGACCAAACCATCATCACAAGCCCGCCCACCTGGCTTCACAGTTTGGATTCGCGAGGCGGTACTGGGATATCGATTTCACTTTTTTTTGTATTAAACTATCAGTATTTTTTGTATTTCAGAAGACGCACCGAGACGGTCGCGCAACCAGAAGCCCGTGGTATATTGTGTTAAGCTTACTTGCGCATGTCGACCACGGCTCTGATGCAGTCGCCTTGCTTCATGGTCTCAAAGGCGTTGTTCATCTCGCCCAGAGTCTTCCTGTGGGTGATGAACTCGTCCACCTTGAGGTCACCCTTGATGTAGTCCTGCACGAGACCGGGCAGCTGAGAGCGGCCCTTGACACCGCCGAACGCGCAACCCTTCCAGACACGCCCGGTGACGAGCTGGAACGCTGTGTTGAGAAAGTGATTAGTTTCTGATGCCGTACTACATTAAGGTTGTACAAGGTGTACTTACGACGGGTGGCAATCTCCTGACCAGCAGCAGCGACACCGATGATGATGCTCTGTCCCCATCCCTTGTGGCAAGCCTCGAGAGCAGCACGCATGACGCTGACGTTACCAGTGCAGTCGAAGGTGAAATCGCAGCCGCCGTCGGTAAGCTCAATGAGCTTGTCGACCACAGACTGGTCTCCGAGCTTGGTGGGGTTGACGAAATCCGTCGCGCCGAACTTTCTCGACCACTCCTCCTTGTTGGGGTTAACGTCAACGACGATAATCTTTCCAGCCTTGTTCACGACGGCACCCTGAACGACGGAGAGACCGACGCAGCCGGCACCGAAGACGGCAACGTTGTCGCCCTCCTGGACGTTGGCGGTAATTCTGGCAGCACCGTATCCGGTGGTGATACCGCAACCCAACAAGCAAGTGCGGTCCATGGGAGCATCCTGCTGGACGGCAACGACTGAGATGTCGGCAACGACGGTGAACTGAGAGAAGGTGGAGGTGCCCATGAAGTGAAGCAGGTCCTTGCCCTTGCACTTGAAGCGCGAGGTGCCGTCGGGCATAACACCCTTGCCCTGGGTGGCGCGGATCTTGCCGCACAGGTTGGTCTTGCCTGACTTGCAGAACTTGCACTCCTGGCACTCTGGTGTGTAGAGGGCGACGACGTGGTCGCCGACCTTCACGTTTGTGACACCCTCGCCGACGGACTCGACGATACCGGCGCCCTCATGACCGAGGACGATGGGGAAGGCTCCCTCGGGGTCCTTGCCGGAGAGAGTGTAGGCATCTGTCCCGAGGAAAGTGTGTCAGTCCTCAAGTTTCTGGGGTTGTAGTAAACAGTCTTCGGATCTTCATCCGAGACCTCAGGCGGGGGTTGTAATATACCTGTGTGGCAGACACCGGTGTGGTAGATTTCGATACGGACCTCGTGGGCCTTGGGCGGGGCAACTTCGATATCCTCGATGCTCAAGGGCTGGCCGGCCTCCCAGGCGACGGCGGCCTTGCAAGTAATGGTCTGTAGATGATCAATTGGGTCAGCGGATGGGTTCGGGTTGTCAAGATGGCTCGCGTCTCAGTCGTCTCCGTGGTCGTCGAGCTACCCCGCAATGGACGGGAGAAAATCGCAGAGCAGGGAATACAGATGTAATGTAAAGTGCTTGGAGTGGGAACTGGGCATACCTTTCCTGCAGTGGCAGACATGTTGTGTGATGATGGTCGATGAGAACCTTGATGGAAGGAGGAAATCGGCACACTAAGCTTAGCTTATAACCGGGCAGGGTACGAGTATTTATTCCAACGAGGTCGGAAGGAGGAGCTGGCAGCTGGAAGTCCAAGATGCAGGTTGGGCACTGGCAGAAGGGGAGAGAACTGCCGCCGGGTGTCTTTTGGCACCATCTCCAAACCCCACCTTCCCCTCGGGAGGGGAAAGTATCCGTGAGTCTCGGGGGTTCGGGGACTGAGACTTGAGTTAGGTACCTCTCTTCCTCTGTGTGCGTATCTCTATCTGGAGAACTGGAGTGCACTTCTTCCTTTACTCGACCACGAATTGGAAAAAGCGGAGACGTTCAGCTTGTCATTGACTAGGTACTCAGGTAAGTAGAGGATAAAACACTACTGACGCCAGCCGTGACTTGTACGAGTCTTGGGTGAGGCGGATGGAAGGGCATTCCCAAGCAGCAACACACGAGTACGTCATTGGATCGATTGAGGTTCTGGGGATGAATTCTGTTATTTGGTTGGCTGGAACTCTACTGGCAAGTCCTTCTCCTGTTGTCCCAATTGGCTGCCTGTGATTAGGTAGGTACACGATACGGTGACAGTCAGATAAAAGAAGTCGAGACCAACGGATGCCTTTCCGACGGACACCAAGATCCAGAAATCGCAGTAACTGGTTCCCTTCCCGAGAACGAAGGCCGAATCACGGCTTGTACGGGCACCTAGCCGGGGGTGGCGGGGGCAGGCTGCGTATCTGGGTCTTCCAAGCGCTTCCACCTCACCAAAGAAAAAGACCGCCCTTTTTGAGACGTTTCCCCCTCCTCCTCTCTTCCGGCGCGCTTTCGGGCTTGCAGCCTATCGTTGTCTGAAGACGCAATACACCAAAACTTTAAGCCGTCGGGGTTAGGCTTTTGAGATGCTATTAATGCACCCTTTTGCAGGCATAGTCCATCGGCGATCGAATCTGGCCAAGCCTGCCCGCCCGCCTTCTGAGGGATGACTTTCCGTGGTTGCCAAGATGGCCTTGAGGAGTACAGCGCTGTTCTTAGGGCCCGCACGTCCAGAGCCCGATTTATGTCCGGGCCCGGAGGTTTCAAGCAGTTTCTTTACTGCCTTTGGCAGCTCTACCCTATCTAATCGGCATGCCGGGCTAGAACGCCGTAACACGGAGGGAGACGAGGGGAGCTCCGGGACGGCTTAGATAAGGTAAAAAGAACACTTCCTAGTTGCCCGCGGACAGGGACTCGACGAAGAGAGATACAAGTCAGAAAGAATGGATGAACAATCCTCTCAGGCAAAAAGATAATCGAAGGATCCATTGGAAAAGAAAGTATGGGAAGAGATGGAAGACCAGGTTGACAGCCAAAAGAGGGGAAACAACTTGGCTTCAATGGTGTGTGTTTACCCCGGAAAAAGAGACATCACAATGGCATCACGGTCGCATGGCTGTGGAGGAGATGTCTGAACCTTAAAGAATTATTCTCCAACAAGGTGACGAAGGAATCGTGTTTGGTTACTGCTTCAGAAGTTTGAACGCCGGGAAGCTTTAACAGGATCTTGGTTCTTTTCAAAGGTACAAGGCACAAAGTACATACTACGTGAAAACATCTCGAAGCCCCGTTAGGTGGTGTGTCAGCGGCGCTAGGCCAGGGAGCTCGGGCCACTCCTAAAAACACAGAGCGACTGGGTGGTGGGGCCAAGACGTCGGCTTCTTCCGCGTTGACTGGCCAAGCATCGCGAACCTCCAAAAATTATCGAGCAAAAGCGCGTCCTGCCAAACACCACAACTCAGCTCTTCAGCCTTGTCGCCTGCGACCTGCCAGTCAGCCCAATTAGCCTCGACGACTTTCGCAAATCAAACGACAGCGACGCATCAAATTTCTGCAGTACCGAATACCTACAAATTTCGCTCCCGCCGGTCAACACAACTTTGCGACGACTAGCCTCATCCGGGTGACCTGAGGTCGCCCACTCCATCACCGACATCATGCCTAACAAATTCTCCTTCGACGACTCAACCTTCGATAGCTCACCGCCGTCGACGCCCGGTCAGACTCCACAGAAGAAGTCATACTACCCCTTTGGCGAAAACCCGTCAACCACGCCAGCCGGTCCTCCACCCTCGTCCGCTGCTTCCTTCACACCCCAAGGTGCTCCCTCCGAGTCCTACCTCGGAAGCTCCTTGTTGCAAGGCGTCACTGCGCAGAAGCCCTTTGGCTTCGGCGGTGCAAGTTCAAATGGGCCCAGCAAGAACCTCTTTGGCAGAAGCGACTCTACTTCAGCGCAACCACTTGGCCGGTCGATTCTGCAGAGCGCCAAACCTACGACGAGACAGCCGTCGGCACTAAGCCGGGAACTTGGCGCGGGAAAGAGCGAGGTCACCTACGATAACCGGACTGGCAGGTATATGATACCCGACAGCTCGGAGGAAGAGGAAGAAGACGAGGACGATGAGGAGTACGACGAACGCGATGCCGCCGACGCGGAGATGGAGCGATACCTCGAAGCCGATATTGGAGAGGAAGACGGAGACGCTGAGGCCGACGACGAAGAGGTCCAGGATGACGACGACATATTTTTGAACTTGCGGCACAGCACCCGTAACGACGATGAACTGGCCTACTCAGATGAGGGTGAAGGCGGCATAGGCGGCGAGGAGTCGGATCTTTTACTGCTCAATACGCCAGCGGCAACGGAGCGAATGCGCAGGGAGGCCCAGGATATTTTCCGTGCGTCGTCCATGCGTCGCTCGTCGGGCAACAGACGGACAGAATTCAAGTTCTCCGCAATCGCAAAGGATCTATACAAGGAACTGGGCATGGCTCAGATCAACGAGTCGTCAGGCGTTGTCTTGAAGACGGAAGACTTGATCAACCAGCTTTACAACGAAGGAATTGGTGCGCAGGAGGACCCCGATCAGCTAGACGTCTCGCTCGCCAACATTGTTTACCCTCTGGTGGACCTCTGGAATGACTTTGCCGACAGTTTACCTATGCCAGAGGGAGAGCACATTGCCGAGATTGGTCCCGGTCCCGAAAGTGAGCCGTTCACGAAGGCTGCCTACGTTGCCCAGTTGGTGCTTCAGATGCATCACACTCGTTTCGCTAACCAAGGCACTGTCGATACCGAAGCGCCGCCACTGCCTTACGTTCTGTTCCGATGGATCGAGGAAAACCACAACATCTACCCCGAGCAGTTCGAGATCGTCATGAATCACAGGCCGAGTCCAGCTTGCCATAGTCTCTTCTGGCCGACACTTCGCAGCGCTCTCATCCGTGGCAATGTCGATCTTGCATCAAAGCTATTGAGGAATGCTGGGTGGGAGTCCGTCAAGAAGGGACCCAGGGCCGATTTCGCTTACTCCGGCAAAGCTCTCGATAACCTACAACGTGCTGTCGGCATTGCGTGCGAGGCACTCGACATGTGCCCAATCACCAAGGGCAACTGGGATATCTTCAGCAGCGATTGGACGCTGTACCGCATCCAGACGAAGGGCTCCTTGGACAAGCTTCAGCGATTTGCGGAGGGCAAGGACAAGAACCTCTTCGCTGGCGATAGTGACGACAGCTCGTACGGAAGAGGCTCCTTGGCCGGTCTTGTGCGGAAAGCGGAAGGCCAGGTTCCATGGGACATCTACGAACATCTCCAGACCATTTACCAGATTATCATGGGAACACCAGAGGCTATCCTGGATACGGCGCAGGACTGGTGTGAAGCCACGATTGGTCTCTTTGGATGGTGGGAGGAAGGCAGAGGACAGCAGAAGAGCCTGCGCATGTCTCGCTCTCACGGCCTCCGCATGACAGCTACGCCTTCTACCCCGGAGACCTATTTTGAACGCCTGTCGCTGGCTTTCCACACGGCGGTTGAGTCGGACTTCCACTTCAACTCTATGAACCCTGTGGAAGTTGCCATTGCTTCGGCTTTCGAGTCAAACTTCGCGGCTGTCATCGGAATCCTTCGAGCATGGTCGCTTCCCATTGCTTCTTCAGTGGCAGAACTTGCCTCGCTTGGTCAGTGGCTACCTAAGCCCGAGCAGCCTAACTTGATCACGATGGAGAGTCTGGACATGGAGGATCTAGAGATGTTGGGAGTGGCTCCTCAGACCGCCGATGATGTGGAGGGCATCAAAGACACTACGCTTACACATTACGCGCGCGAACTTGCCGGAATCGAGAGTCTTTCGGAAGATCGCAGCGGTTGGGAGATGGCGATACAGGTCCTTGGTCGCATGGATTCGGCTGCGAAGTCAGAGGATATGGTCGGAGAATTGCTTCGGGATATCCTAGACCAGCTTGATTCTGAACAAGGAGCCACTGTGGATAAGGTCTGGAGAATTCTGAACGATCTCGGCATGATTTCCTATGCCGAAGAGACCGCAGAGGTACGTGCAGATCGCATCGAACTGTGCATATCACCAAGCTAACCGTTTCTAGACCTATGCAGATATTCTCGGCAAAGACTCCCACAGATACGGAGAGGCTCTTTGGTACTACGCTCTGGCTCATAGACCCGGAAAGGTCCGCGAGGTGCTCAACCTCCTTATGTCGTACTCTTTGCTCCACTCCACGGTCTATCCCCCAGCCAACGATCTGGACGACCACCTCTACCGACTTCTGAACGAGCGCAGTCAAACGCTCGAAAAGTATGCCAAACAAGATCTCGAGGCAGCGAATCTCCTCGGGCGGATGTTGAGTGGTTACGCCACGCTCCGGAAATTCTACGAGCTTCGTGACACTGATGGACTTGCTGATATGTCACCTTACAAGTCTGCCAGTCTCCGGAAGCAAGCCGCCTCCGCCCTTGTTGCAGTCATCGCTAGCTCAGATGACAACATTCGGGGAGGCCTTTACGACGAAACCCGCGACGCAGTTGTCAGTGAGGACTTCATCCTCGCTCTGTTGGGCGAGGCTTTACCCTTTGTCAACCAAAACCCTTCGGTCATCACGCTCGACCAGATGGACACGCTCCTCAAGGCCGTTGAG